TTAGGAGTAGTATTGAGGCAGATGATTTTGTTGATATCGTTGATGGGGCCAAATGTTGGCTGTCCATAATTATCAACACACCAACATAATTTTGTCCCTAGATGACATTGCAGCCCTTTGTACCTGCCTGGTTGGTTAGTTGATTGGTTGGGTGATTGGTTAGTTGGTTGATTGGTTGTCTGGCTTGCTTGTTGGTTGGTTGATTGAATCAATCAATCCATCAATCAATTAGTTTATAAAGCGCTATTTCCGCGATGTAAAAGTAGAGGAGTTAGAAGTAGAATTATTGAGAACAACAGAAGAAAATAGACAAGAATTATTAATATTAAAAAAATGATCTGGCCCGCGAAGCTATTTTATGCGGCCCGCGAGGTCTTGTCCGACAAAAAAAGGTTGTCAGCCAGACATCATGACCAAAAAAGGAATCACAAATCTTAACAAAATTCTCCCCGGGGTCGAAAAAATTTGTCATTTAAGTACATATGCGGCCCTTCAAAGGCAAAATAGTTATCAAAAGTTTTTTTAAATTGATGGATTGATTGAAGAGATGAGTTTGCTTACAGAATTAGATAAATAAATTAATTAAAAAATTATATATCTTTATATTCCCTATTTCCTAACCGTCCGGATAGCATTCCGGAATGTAAATTATTGGGAGTTTTTCATTTCCGCTAGGGGAGCGGCCATTTTTTAGGGATGTGCGTCTTTCGTGCTGGCACTTGGTTTCTATTTTTGAAGGTTTAATTTGCTTGTGCTGTTGACGTTGTTGCCGATGTTGTTGTCTGCGTGGAATTTTTTGTTTTGGCATTACATTTTGTTGTTGTTGATGTTGTTGTTGTTGTTGATGTTGTTGATGATGATGTAGTTGTTGTTGATGTAGTAGTTGTTGATATCGTTTGTATCTTAGAATTTTTTTAAAGTTTTCTGTTGAATAGCGGTTGTTGATTTTTGGTATGAAGGGTATTGTTGCTGATGTTAATGGTGTAGTAGTAGTTGTTGTTGTTGTTGATGTTATAGAGGCTAATGTGGATGACATCAATATTGATAATAACAGTTTAGATGTTTCTGCTGTTGATGTCATTGTCGTTGTCGATGTTTTTGTTGATGTTGTTGATAATGTTGTTGTTGTTGTTGTTGATGACGTTGTTGATGATGACATCATCATTGTTGTTGTCATTGTTGTTGTTGTTGGAATTGTTTTCACTAATTGATCTGCATAGCTGGCATTTAACGTTGGAATAATTGAAAAATTCAATAGGAGAATTAGCAGCATGCTGCTATTCAGATGGTTGTAATAATATTTTTGCTGATGTTGTTGATGATGCTGTTGCTGTTGTTGATGACTTTGTTGATGTTTTTGATGTTGTTGTTGATGTTGTTGTTGATGACTTTGTTGATGTTGTTGATGTTGTTGTTGTTGATGTTTCTTTGGCAATTTGTGGCCACAACTACCACAACAACCAGACGATGCGAAACAACAGCCAGGTTTACCTTTAAAACACTTCGCCAGTGCGTCAAAGTTGTAACACAAATCCATACTAATAGCTCGAAAAATATATTAAATATTTCTTGTAATAATTAACGATCTAAATTTTGTTGTTAATGTTGTTGCAGTAGCTGCAACTACTACAGCCACCGATTTTAATCATCGTGTTGTTGTTGATGACGACGACGATGATGATGATCTCAATGAATTTGTTGTGAACGATGGTGATTATTATTATTATTATTATTGTTATTATTATTGTTATTATTATAATTAAGATTATTATTATTATTCTTTTTTATTATGGCGAGGTTTATGATCGCAAAATACATTTAACAGCATCATCAGCATTGTTAAAAAAAATACTTTTCAGTAGCACAGCGCGTTTTTCAAACATTTATATACAAACGTACATCCATGTATGTATGTATGTATGTTTGTATGTATGTATGTATGTATGTATGTATGTATGTATGTATGTATGTATGTATGTATGTATGTATGTATGTATGTATGTATGTATGTATGTATGTATGTATGTATGTATGTTTGTATATGTGTACGTATGTGTGTGTGTGTGTGTGTGTGTGTGTGGTGTAACAAAACGCACTTCCTCTAGTTTATTATAAGGAATAAATGTTTCCATGACAACCTTAAGTTGATTTAATAGCTTAACATTTAGTGGATAGATGGATGGATGGATGTATGGAAAAACAAATGGATGGATGGATGAATAGATGGATAGATATGGATGAATGCTTTAATAGATTTTTTTAAACATGTATGGATGTATGTATGTATGTATGTATGCATACATGTATGTATGTATGTATGTATGTATGTATGTATGTGTGTATGTATGTATGTATGTATGTGTGTATGTATGCATGCATGTCTGGAAGTCTGTGTTCTGTGTTCTTACACAACAACAAAATCACCATCATCGCCGCCACAGCAGCAGCAGTAGTAGCGACCACATCAGCAGCATCATCGCCACTAACAACTACATCATCATCGTCGTCGTCATCATCATCTTCATCATCTCCATCGGCGTTAAGTAATGAGAAACTTATTTGCCCAACAATGTAACACCTGCGATAATTATTAACACTTGCTATTAATTACTATAAGCGTTTTCATTAACGAAACCACACTACTACTATTACTACTACTACTACTACTACTACTAGTACCACCACCAACATCACTACTACTACTACTACTACTACTACTACTACTACTACTACTACTACTACTACTACTACTACTACCACCACCAACATCACTACTACTACTACTACTACTACTACTACTACTACTACTACTAACACCAACACCACCACTATTATTACTACTACTATTACTACTACTACTACTACTACTACTACTACTAAAAAATAAAAATACTGTTTTCCTGTTGAGACTCTCCTATTAAATCAATTTTATCTGCGTTCTTCAGTTGAGGTAAATAAAAATAAGCGTCTCTTTCATTTGCTTAAATTGTAGTAGTTTTAAGAGTATTAGAAGTAGTAGTAGCAGTCGTTGTAGTAGTGGTAGAAATAGTAGTGGTAGTAGTGGTGGTAGTAATAGTAGTAGTTTTAGCAGTAGTTGTAGTCTAAGAAGTAGCTGGAGTAATAGTAGTAGTAGTAGTAGTCATAGAAGTAGTAGTAGAAGTAGTAGTAGTAGTAGTGGTGGTGGTAATGGTAGTAGTAGTGGTGGTAATAGTAGTAGTAGTAGTAGTAAGAGTAGTATGTTCCTTATTTTTATTATTTTTTTTATTTTTGACGCCAAAGCTTTTACCTGTCGGTCGGTTATAAACGATTATTAATCTTCTTTTGTAATAATAATAATAATAATAATAATCATAAAAATAATAATATTTATTATTATTTTTATTATAAAAACAACAACAATAGTAATAATAATAACAACGAAATCTCTCTATCTTTTTATCTCAGCTTGTTTATTTATTTACCTTACATTCTTTTATTCTCTCCGTTTTTCTTCCCCTCTCTCGCTCTCTTTCTCTCTCTCTCTCTTTCTGTGTGTGTCTTTTTCTTTCTTCTCTCTTTAAGATTTCAATAAAAGTAACAATCATCTAAAGGACTCGATAGCTAAAAACGCGCAGAAAAGTATAAAAAGCACCTTCATCATCATCGTAATAATAATAATAATAATAATAATAATAATAATAATATAATAATAATAATATAATAATAATAATAATAATAATAACACTCATCATCGTCGTCGTCGTCTTCGTCGTTCTCATCATGATTTTTTCATTATTTTATCCCCGAAGTAATTATAACAGTTTGAACAAAATGTTTTAAGCACACGTGTGTGTGTGTGTATGTATGTGTGTGTGTGTGTATGTGTGTGTGTGTGTGTGTGTATGTATGTGTGGTACTTGTTTGTGTGCCAATACAATTAAAATAATTTTGTTTCACTTTTTAAAATAGCTAAAGTAAGAGAACCAAAAAAAGATTGGAGATGTTTAGGGAGAAAAAGAGAGAGAGAGAAAGAAAAGGAGAGAGAGAGAAAGAAGAAAAAAGAGAGAACGTTTGTGCAAACAATTCCTTAAGTGCACTCATTTATTTATCTTTTCAATCGTTCATTCACGCGATTTGTTCATTCGATCTATTGTTCACTCCTTTTTAAATTCTTCGATATTTTATGCGTTCACTCGTTCTGTGATTCTTCTAGTTTTAGCACATTTATTTTTACATTTTTTAAATTATTTTTTTCCTTCTTCCATCATTCTTTTAATCATTCCTTCTTTCATTCATTCATCTATTTTTTTTATTTATCCATTAATTCAATTCTCATGCATTCTTCATTCCTTTTGTCATTCATTCTTTCTATGAATGAATGGATGGATAGATGGATGAATGGATAGACGCATGGATTGATGAATGGATGGATAGATGAACAGATGAATGAACAGACGGATAGACGGGTGAATGAATGAAACGAAGGAAGAGCGGATAAATGTATGGTTGGATAGACAGACTATTGACGAGACATTAGACTTGCTGCTAATAAATCATCATTCAACATTCAACACAACGGCAACAACATCATCAACTAATTTTTTCCACAAACTATATCAACATTTCATAACAATAAAAACAAAAATAACAATAATAATAATGATAAAAATAATAATAATATCAACAAATGTGGTTTTTGCAATGACTGTATATAATGATATAGAATAATAGGTAATGACATATATATTGAAACAATACAAATTTAAAAAATTTTATTTAAACCAATTGTTTTAATAATTTATTTATTACAAAAAAATACAAATAAATATAATTTGTTTAATTAAGATATTTTTAAACACGAAAACTTAATAAAAATTTTCGTTACACTACGGTAGGTACAAAAAAGTTGAAACTTAGATTAACTTTTAAAAAGGTACCAAAACTTATTTTCCCACTAAATTTAATTCGGCTTAGGCTCTGAATGGGTTTTAGTTAGGCGTCACAGAAAAGTTAGTGTACGAATAAACTGAATTCACTTATTTTTACTATCTTTGTTCTCTCTAAATGCTATATAATCCATAATGAACGAAACAAAATCGCCATTTTCCGAAAATTCTTTCTACAAAAAAAGGCTCTCCACTTTACCGCGAAAGTTTGATTCCGATTTTTTGGATGTTCATTGCTTGACGCTCAGACCCGTCAAAGATTCGTTAAACTTGAATTTTTCTACCGCCGCCGATCCAACTGAATTATCTTCCTACGGCGACATCGCTACAAACGTTAGTGATCACAACTCGGGGATTGACCTGACCGCTGTGGCCATTACTACGTCGATTTCATCAACAACTGTATCTTCTCCGACCACGGACGCAGCTACAACAACCGCAGTCGTTACAACAACAACTGCAGCTACTACTGCCGCATTCATTTCAAAGATTGCTGCTGCTGTTAAAAACGCGACTTCAGTTACTTCATCATCCGAGGCCACAGCTGTCAACAAAGCTTCATCAAACGAGAACAAAAATTTGAACCCATCAACATCAGCAACGAACTTGGAAAGAAATTTCGAAGAAAATTTCACATTGTTGAAAAATTTCAATTGCAGTAAATTTTCAAATCCTTCAGAATTATTTGATTCTCTAGAATTTTACCAGACAAACTCAGTGAAAGAGACCAAAAAAATGAGTAGAAACCCAAAAAGAGTTAGTAAAGTTAGTAAAGGTTTCAAATCTGATGACGAAAGTGCCGACGAAGATTTGCCGTTAGGTAAGCTGTTAGGCAGAAAACCAAAAATTAGTAAAAATCTGGAGAATGTTTGTAGCAAAAGTTCATCAAAATTACCTCCAGCTAAGTCGTCATTGAGTAAAAAATCAGAAACGGCATCTACATCAAAAAATCTAAAACAAAAAAAATCAATTTTGATGGAGAATTCAGATAGTAATAAAAACAAAGTCGAGAGGACATCGAACGTTGGAAAAAAATCGGCAACCAAAAAACCCATCACTGATATCTCATCTCCAACAAAGAAGAGAGGAAGAAAAAGGAAGACAGAATCATCATCACTATCACCCCCAACATCGTCAGCACCAGCACGATCATCAACATCATCATCGTCACATACTCCAACTCTCAGTAAAGCTCTTCATGCTGATAATGATGGCAAAAAAGATGATGAGAAAAATGATGATGATGAAGATGATGGTAGAAATAAAAGTAGAAATAGAAAAAGACGTAGGACCAGTAACAATGATGATATCAAGAAGAACAAGAGTGATGATGGTACTGGCAATAATGGTAATGTTAGCCAGCATGGTGATACAAATGGTGATGGCAATGTTAAGAATGATATATCAGCAGCAAGTAATTCATTATCTTCATTGATACTATTTGTGTCTCCATCACCGACACAAGCTGAATCATCATCATCAGGGTCATCTGCAACTTCTTTATCATCAAAACTGCCCGCATCATCAACTTCATTCTCATTGGAAAGTGTCCCATCATCGTCTTCATTATCATTGGCTCTCACATCATCGTCCTCATTATCATTAGTTGTCACATCATCATCTTCATTCCCATTGGCTAGTATCATATCATCATCTTTATCCTCATTGGCTGACACATCATCGCCATTAATGCCATCATCATCATTACCTCCGCCAATGGAGAATAAAATTCCGCAGAAAAGAGGTCGTAAGCCGAAATCATCATCATTTCTATCACCTACTCCATCGTCATCATTATCATCGCCTCCTCTATCTTCTGCATCATTATCATCACCGCCAGCTTCATCCTCATCGCTATCAGTGTGTGGAAGAAAGCTTAGACCAAGAAAATCTTTAGTATTTAATGATGTTGATGTCGAAAAAACTACTACTACTACTACTGCTGCTGTTACTACAGCTGCTACTACTACTACAGCTTCTACTACAGATGCTACTATTATTGTAGCTGATGCTACTACGGCAGCTAATGCTACTACTTTTGATACTTACACTTTATCTGCTAATGAGTTCACCAATGTTTCTGATGGTATTATAAGTACTGTTGAAACACTCATCAACATTTCAGATGTTTCTTCAAGTAATTTTACTGCTACTACTACTACTGCGGCTGCTACTGCTGCTAAGACTGCGGCTTCTACGGCCACTACTACTACTGCTTCTTCTACCACTGCCCATGGAATTGTAAGCAATGGTTGTAATAGTACTTCTGCTACTGTTGAAACTTCTACCGTTCCTGAAGTCGTTGATATTGTCAGTATAAGTAGTATCGGTAGTAATGTTGAAGTTAGTAGTAATGTTGAAGTGTATGAAGATATTGGTAAAAGTTGTAGTAGCATTGATGATGAGAGGCTGGAAATGACCTCAGTAACAACAACAACAATTATGGTGATCCCTGTAGAGACGTCAACAACAACAACAGCAGTTATGAAGTCATCAACATCTGTGATGTCATCATCAACAACAGCTATGACAGCTTCAACAGCTATGACAACATCAGTAGCTGTGGCTTTAGCAGAACTGCCTGGAACATCCACTACAACAGCTATGACAGCAGTAACAGCAGCAGAGACTATGACGTCATCCACGACAACTGTAACGTCATTAGCACCAGGAACTCCATTAGCCCCTTCATTACCATTGCAAAAATCAACGACATTAACTTATACTGATACCGCTACCCTGGTTAACGTGACGTCAATACCAACATTGGTAGCGTCGACTGCAGCTTCATCGTCGACAATAACAGCAGCTGCTGCAGCAGCTTCTTCATCGTCACTTGAGGACTGCATACCAAGATCTCCAGGTGCAAGTATATTGAGGAAGAGAAAATTAGATGATAACTTATTTTCACCATCATCGTCGTCGTCTTTGTCATCTTCACCATCATCCAAGGTGACTGAATGATGATTCTGATGTTGCTAATAATAATGAAGTATTTATAATTATCTACTTATAATTTATTTATATTATTATAATTTGATTATAATTAACTATTTTTAACTGACCAATCAGAGAGTGGCATTTTCAGAAGTAGTGGAAACGTTGGAAATTCCCAGCTGCCTGGCCTATGGGGAATCTCCACGAAGGGCTCTACGTTCTAAAAATAGCCCTAACCCCAACAACAACAATAATAATAACGCTGATAACGTTGATAGTTCCAAGAGTAAAAGTGAATTAAGAGTAAAAAATGATGATGGTAACGATGATAATAATAACAACAACAACAATAATCAACTCTCTACTCTTGCAACAACAACAATTTCAAATAGTTTTGAATGTGACAACAGCAATAATACTAGCAAAAGTATAACAAATTCTGCCTCTACTATTTTTACCACTACTGCTTCTAGTACTACTACTACTACTACTACTACTAATACTACTACTAATAATAATAATAATGAAAGTAGTAATGATTGCAGTTGTAGCGGTAGTATGTATGTGTTTTCTGATTTGATGGCAAACAATACCCCTGTTGATCTTATCTTGCCAAAGCTTACTGCTGCTCCTTGGTTGGTTGGTTGGTTGGTTGGTTGGTTGAATGGTTGGTTGATTGGTAGGTTGGTTGATTGGTTGGTTGAATGGTTGGTAGGTTGGTTTTCAGATTTAATTGGTTGACTGATTGATTAACTTGTGTAATATTTATTCATTGAATATGCACAATTACCAATAATATTAATAGTAATAGTCGTAAATTATGTTAATTAACAGGCTCAGAGGTTTGAAGCAGCTACTTATTGCTAAAAATATCGACACGATCGGCCACTTAGCTTCACTGACGTCCGTCGAAGTCGAATGCCTACCTCTGCCTGTTCCTAAAATGTCCAGATTGCAAAAAGTTCTCAGAGACTGGAATGATGGTCAGCTTTTTAAGATCAGTAAAAGTGGGATAGTGTCGTCATTGTCATCGGCTACTGCATCATCAACCTCATCTATATTAGCTTCATCTTCGTCATCATTGTCTGCAGCAGCTATTGCGTCATCAACTACAACAACGTTGTCGTCGTCGTCGTCATCATTGTTAGTATCATCTTCGTTATCATCTTCATCAGCAGTAGTAACACCCACAACCATGTCATCCTCATTATCAGCGGCATCATCAACATTTTCTATTCTTTCTAACAACTGCGATGATAAAGTTATTAGGGGTAATAAGAATGATAAAAATGATGATGAAGAAGAAGCTGATGGCCATCCCTTCATTGGTAAAACAGCTGGTGGTGATGGCGCTAAACAAGCAGAGGATAAAAACAATGATGATGAAAATGACGTCATCAACGATTATAATAATAATAATATTAAAACTAACAACAGTGATGACGACGACGATCAAGATACAATTATGAATGAAATTGTTGAGATTTTCATCTTTGATGAAAAATATAGTAGTTCCGATGATACTACTGATAATTTAGATAAAATTAGTAATAATGATGATAATGACGACTTGACCACTACTACTACTGCTGCTGTTGCTGCTGCAGCTACTACTAGTACTTTTACTACTACTATGATCGCTAATAACATTGACAAAAATACCGCTGCTTTAATTAGTATGCCAGCCCCTATTTATACTTCATCTTTTTCATCTGATATAATTAGCTGTTTTACTTCTATTATCAATTATGCTACTTCTACTACTACTGCTACTTCTACTACTACTGCTACTTCTACTGCTACTGCTACTGTCGCTACTACTTCTACTATTGATATTACCGCAAGTATTTGTAATGATAGTTCTAGTGAGAGAACTCTTAACAATCACATTTTTTCTGACGTTTCTACTGACGCCACCGAGTTTAGTAATATTGTTAATAGTGATTCTAGAGATGCTATCAATGATACTACTACTTGGAATGATGATACTTTCAGTAATGCTACTTCTAATGATACTACTATTGATGATACTAACAAAGATACGGCTATGGAAACAAATGATGCTGGCGTCAACACAGACTGTGTTAATGGTAATAATAATGGTAATGAAATCATTTTCATCAGCCAAATTGATTATTTAGATGATACCCACAATGATACTACTGGGGATACTAATACAAACATAGACACAGATGATGCCAATAATGAGGATAACAATGGAACTAGTTTCACTGACGTATCGAACGGATTAGACAATTTGTTTAATAGTTTCACGAGTAGCACTAATCAACTAACCAGGCATGAAGTGCTAAAGTTATACCCTAGGTTTATGAGGCTTCAATCTCTCTTTAATGATTTGGTCTACGAAAAGTGTCTTTTGAATGATTGAAAAGATGGGTTAATTTGCTGGTTGGCTGGTTAATTTGGCTGATTGAATGACTGGTTAATTTGGCTGATTGAATGACTGGTTAATTTGGCTGATTGAATGACTGGTTAATTTGGCTGATTGTATGACTGGTTAATTTGACTGATTGTATGACTGGTTAATTTGGCTGATTGAATGACTGGTTGGTTTATTGATCGAATTGATTTGGCTCATGGTGCGGTTATGATGATTGTAACATCGATGGTGATGATGATATCAATGAGAATGACGACGAGGATGATGTGATTATTATTCAATCAATACCGTATTGGTGTTTATTTGGAAACCGCCCAAAACTTTCGTTATTATTACAACGGAGGGCACGCAGCATGCATGCAACACGTTCATACAAGATGTATGTGTACGTGTTTGCCGAAGTTTTCTTCTCTGTGTATTTGCATGCATGTATTGCTTATGTTTATATGAAAGAGTGAGAGAGAGAGAGAGAGAGGGAAGTGATTGTATTAATGGATGCATCGCATGTTTATACCTAGGACGTACTTGAATTAATTCAGATATACATGTTATATATATTTTTCTTGCATGTATCTTAACAATAATGTAGATATTGCATCTTTATTTTTCTTTCTTTTTGTCTTACGCTCAGTAGATAACTTGCTTACTTAGTATTCATTATATTTAACAAAATACGTCTTAATACAACATTCGCTAACGAATATTTACGACTAAATTATAATAATATTCATTTATTGCATGGAAACATTGCCATTATGTATTTATTGTGTTTAATGCGTCTTATTCCGCCCAACTCGTTAGCTTATATTTTATTTCATGTGCGTCATGCTGTTATAAAAATTACTAGGCCCTATATACAGATTATGCCATGGTTATACTGCTATTTTAACGCAAAAATTTAATGTAATTCATCGAACAAAATGCTAAATACTCATGGAAATGTAATCAATAGAGTAAATACTAAATAGTCTTTAAAAAAGTTTTAAAATACTAGATTGATGCTTCCAGATATAAATACTATTAAATTAAGCATTTGATACTTAACGCTGGTGCCACTAATTCATAATGTAAACCACACCCAAATAAAAACCTTTGATCTAAGTGCTACAGTCTATTTAGAATTAATTAACCACATCCTAAATGCGACCATGGAGAAAAAACTAACATTCAAGCTAACACAACTACACATTCCAGTTAATTTTACAAAGTTAAAACCCAAAGACAAAGCTTTATCGTCACAAATATAATCTATTTTATTCAACTGGAAAAAACTAATTTACATTAACTACTATTTGTATGAATGTTTCATTTGAATGTTCTATTGAAAATGTTTCATCAAGAGGTAAAATTTTTCATCAAAGATATCAACCAGATATTTTTTAACCATTGAAAGTGGCAATAAACTTTACACATAAGTAACATTAAAGTAGTGAAGGTAGATTGATAATGTAAGTTGTAACGTGACGAGTAACATCCCAAGCTCACTAATTCAAACAAAATTTTTTTGGATAAATATAAACAATTATGAAATGTAAACTCCAAATCAGTTATTTCATCAAAGTAGGAACGGATCACATGTAAATGACAATGTACTACAGACAAGCCTATCAGGAAAATGTAAAAAATTTAAGTATAAACGATTAAAAACAGATTTTTGTGACATACTGTCTAAAAAACATATACGTACAACAGACATATAAATTATATCTCTATATAAATATTTTATAGCAATAAAAATTAATAAACCAAACATGAAATAACTACAAAATGTGTTTTCAATTGTTATTGTGTGTAACTGTAACATTTTAATTGAATAATTAATTAATTAATTAAGTCGGGATGACGTCAGTTAACTATTCGTTATTTTCCCTTCTTCTTGTCACCCTTGGCGGCCGCCGGCTTCTTCTCACCCTCAGCTTTCGCCTTATCTCCTGCTGGCTTATCGGCCTTTTTGTCGTCGCCCTTGGCAGCTCCTTCCTTCTTTTTTGGTGGCATTTTCTGAAATTTTCACTATATATAAGAACATATTTCACAAATAAATTTGTTAAAACGCGTTTCATCCTAATTACAAATTAGTATTTTACTACTAACTACTGAATGGGGTGAATGTTGTTATGCGTCTCAACTCGAGTTTTAAGCAAATTAACAATTTAAAGACTTTTGTATACGTTAAAATATTGCTTTAAATTTGTAATTCGCAATATTTCATCTGTCAGCAGTGGCGCAACATGAAGAATTACACACGTATTGAAATTAAATTGAATTAAAAATTATTTCAAAATGGCGCCCTCAAGTGAAACAGGTGAAAAACAAAATTTCCTGAACTTAATGAGAAAAACCAACTAAAAATGCGAAAACAATCAAAAGTTAACTAATTATCGAATTATTACCTCTAAAACCGGTACTTTAAACTTCAAAAATGACAAAAAACTGACTTTTGACACAAAACTCGCAGCGAAAATGGAATTGAAAAATCTAGAACAACCTCAGAGCGAACGAACGTTATTTGTATCTAATGGCAACTACCGGCTTTAGGGCTATTTATAGTTTCAAGCTTTTAGTAGCGTTAGGGCGGAGTTATGTTAATTAAAAAGCTTGCAAGGTCAAGTTATGCATACGTAATAAGCTTTTTAGCTCACCACTGGTAGTTAAGGAGGTCAAGTTGTGCTTGCATAATGAGCCGATACATATTCATTACAATTGTTTTAGAGGTCTTTTCACCTCGTCTTGTCACGCGAAAGAACGAAAGACATTGAATACAGTTGTAATTTAATTTCTTGAAAAACCTCATGATACTGATTGAAATTGAACTTTAGTGAATAAAATGACGCAAAAATCTCAATAAGTTTGATGTTTATTATGCTTTTTTATTTGCCATAACGTTAAAATATTGAATATTGCTTGATACTACGTTGTTATACGCTAACTTTATAAATTAGCACAAATTAGTGAAAATAAAAACGGTAATATTTAGCGATTTCTGCCATCAAACATCACCAATCTAGCGAAATTTGAGAACAAGGCAGTGTACGATGAAGCTGTAGCAGCAGAACAACAGTAGACAAGAAAGGCATTCCTCACGTAGTATTACATAGTATACATTACATACAAAAGTAAAATAAGCAGGTATGGGTATGAATAGGAGTATATAGGCCATACATGCATACCTACACGTACACGTTTTTCTACATTTTACACGTGTACACACGAGTGCACATAAGCATTTTAAACCCACGACATGATACATTCATTTCCCATAAGCAATCATATCAAAGGTATTTTTAAACCGGTTAGGGCAGATTTATATAAATATTAATAAGCTTCTTACTATTAACAAAGCAACATATCAATATTAATGAGATTATTTATAGGCATTTTGAAGTAGTTATGTTTTTCCCAAAATTAATGAAGTGATCTCGTTTCGACGCCTTGCTCGATAACGAGTTAAGAATGAACGAATGAATGAATGGTCTAACAATTTTAACCGCCAATACTTGAAACACACACACACAACAACACATATACACATTTAACAAGTTTAATATATAAAACTACACTAAACAGAACATAACTCTAAACATAAACACACAAGGCAACTGTTTCTATCCATTCCATTCATCGTCAAATTAGCATTTACCCAAGTGTTAATATTAACATTATTAATATTATGTTCGAATAATTATTCAAAATTTATTTATTTATATAAATAATTATCACATTTTCACTAATTCCTATTTGTTAGTAATGGAATTGCCCCCAGACGATTCTGACCAATCGTCGTCATCCTTGCAGGCATAACATCGGAACTGTGGCACGATATTTTTTTTTTAAAAAGATATAAATTTATAAACACAGACACAGACACACACACACAGAAGATACAACTCCCACACAGACACACACACACACACACACACACAAACAGACACACACAGAAGATACAACTCCCACACAGACTCACACACACACACAAACAGACATACAGACACACACAGAAGATACAACTCCAACACATACAATTTTTTTTTGAAAAAAGATATAAATTTATAAACACAGACACACACACACACACAGACACACAAACACACACACGCACACGCACACATACAAACCCCGATGTCAATCCAACAACCAGGACAGTAGGTAGCCTTACACAGAAAAGTAGGGCAGTGTTTGAAATGTCGAGTCTCTTTATCCTTACATATGGTGCATTCCTGGAGGCCAAGCCCCAAATGAGTTAGCCATTCAAAATAGCCAGGAAAAGCATATCGAAGTGACAGGAAAAATCCAATTGGAAGCTGTTCAAGGATTATTATTATTACTATCATTGTTAATAACATTATTACTATTATTTATTAGTATTAATATAAAAAAAACAACAATTAACATACAACTAAGTAATTATTATGCATCTAACTTTGATTGACGTTGAAATAAAAAAAAAATCTCTAGCCCAATCTAATCAATACAACTATTACAAATACTACAACTACATAATTAAATAATAACACAAATTAATAAACACATAAATCAATAAATACATAAGTTAATAAATACATAAATTAATTAATTAATTAATTAACATACAGTAAACTTGTCCTCTTTGATATTCCTCCTAACGGTATGTCTGCACTGATGGTTGTAGCAAATCCTTTTCTTCAGCAGGTCATTGTACACGTACAAGGTTCGCTTCTTGGCTCTCTGTATAAATCAAATCAAATTTGTATATATATAGCGCTAATTTTAATAATTGCATCTCATCAGCGCTCTCCTAGTATGAAGCATGTTGAAAGCGAAGCCATCATCAAACACACACAAACAAACAAACACAGAGAGAGAGAGAAACAGAAACACACACACACAGACACACGAACCTTTCTGTAGAAGAAGCCAGCGATGACGTGGGAGAACTTCTTGAGATGCGGCTCGACGAAGAAGAAGCCAAAGATGATCACCATGAAACCGTAAACCTCGAAAAAGGCTGAGGCTTGTGTAAATGTTGGGACTGGCAGGCAAACTGATTGATTGATTGATTGAAAAAGTTGACTGATTGATTGATTGAAAAGGTTGACTGATTGATTGATTGAAAAGGTTAACTGATTGATTGATTGATTGAAAAGGTTAACTGATTGATTGATTGGAATGATAGATTTAATTCGATACACTGATTGGTTGATTGATTGAAAAAGTTGACTGACTGATTGATTGGAATGATTGATTTAATCGGTTAATTAGATAAACTGATTGGTTGATTGATTAAAAAAGTTGACTGATTGATTGCTGGGTAAGGAATCAATTGAATGATTGATAGTGACTAAGCGGTTGAACTTCTAACTCCGATTAGTGGTCTCAACGTAAAGATGCTTCTTATTATTCATTCCTTGAGTGAAAAACCGAAAGACTTGAGCCATGAAGCCAGTACCCGTTATCTTCAACTCGAACTGTGAGTAACCTATGTATGTGTGTATGTATGTATGTGCGTGTGTATGTATGTATGTATGAGCGTGTGTATGTGTGTATGTATGTATATATGTATTCAGTTCAATTCAACTCAATTCAATTCAATTGATCTCAATTCAGTTCAATGTATGTATGTGTGTATGTATGTATGTATGTTTCTTTGTATGTATGTATGTATGTTTCTTTGTATGTATGTATGTATGTATGTTTCTTTGTATGTATGTATGTATGTTTCTTTGTATGTATGTATGTATGTTTCTTTGTATGTATGTATGTATGTTTCTTTGTATGTATGTATGTATGTATGTTTCTTTGTATGTATGTATGTATGTATGTTTCTTTGTATGTATGTATGTATGTGCGTACCTTTATGTATGTAGTCAATGGCGGCATAGGTCCTAAAGAGCTGTAGTAGGCAGGCGAAGCAATAGTCGACAGCGAAGCCAACGAGAAAGTAGAGTGCGAACGTTATTAACTGAGATGCACTTTTCATCTTAAAATTATAATTATTACGAATAATTATAGTTATTATTATGTATAATTAATATCAATTAATTAATATTAATTTTAGTAGCTCACTCACTCACCCAGTCGTTCATTATCATTCATTGATTTACTCACTGATTCGCGCTTTTATTCACTCAACCATTTTATTTATTTCTTCACTAACTCATTCTCACATTCATTCGTCCATCCATCCATTCATTCATCCATTCATTCATTCATTCATTCATCCATTCACTCATTCATTCATTCGTCCATTCATTCACTTACTCACCAGGTTCATCATTTGTTTGAAGGTTATTTTGTGATCGAACATTTCAGTAACTTCCAACTTTTCCATGTTTTTCAACGGCATAAGAAATTGTTTCATCTACAATAAAACAAAAGCTATTGGTTAATGAATGAAAAAAAATCAATCAAACAGCAAGCCAATCAATCAACCAGTCAACCAATCAATCAATCAATTAACTAGCCAATCGATCAATCAATCGATCAATGAATCCATCAATCGATCAATCAATCAATCAATCAGCCAATCAGTCAACTAACCATAAGCTTCCTCCTATTGTCGATGTGAATGAAATATGAATCGACATAGTTATTGTCGAATGTTATCACTGTTATAAACTTATCCAAATAGCTCTGACACCTAAATAACACAAAGAAAAGAAACATTACCACAAATATAATGAAAAACCACCCAAACATACAACAAAAACCACCAAAGGTACAACAAAAACCACCAAAGGTACAACAAAAACCACCAAAGATACAACAAAAAACCCAAAGATTAATCGACAAAAATCACCCATTCATATAATAAAGATACATAAACATGATTGATTTGATACTATCAATTTCATGATACACTTTCGAAAAAATTCCAACAAAAATAACAAAAGATACAACAACAAAAAAAAACCATCAAAGATATACGAACTCGTATAGGAGATACACAAACATGACGGGTATCAATCTAATGATACACTTTTGGAAGAATTCCAACAGGAGAGTCTTGAACATCTGGGCTTCCTTGGCGACAGCTTCCACTTGATCGCCCGTCACCACCATCGTCACCTCTCCCTCATCTACATCTGGGACCTAGAAAGAGTGAGAAAAAAATATGAGAGCGAGAGAGAGAGAGAAAGAGAGAGATGATTGATTGATTGAGAAAGTGAAAGATAAATAGAAATAGACTAGAGATAGATAACAGATTTCAACAAGAAAAAAAAATAGATAGATAGATAAATAGATAGATAGATAGATAGAGAGAGAGATAGATAGATAGATAGATAGATAGATAGATAGATAGATAGATAGATAGATAGATAGATAGATAGATAGATAGATAGATAGATAGACATGAATAAAGAGAGGGATAGAAAGAAAGAGGTAGAGAAAGAATATGCAAAATAAAAACAGCATGCAGAGCCGACATACCTCATATTGAAATCTGGCTTCAGCCTTATTGAAAAACTCATCGATGAGCTCCCTTATCTTAAGGAACTGCTCGCTGTAACTGTTCGGATCGAGATCCAGTCCAATCTCGCCACATGTGAATCCCAAGTATTTTTTTGGCACTATATCGTAAGTAGGAGTATTTCATTCTATAAAGATAATGAGAGAGAGAGAGAGAGAGAGAGAGAGAGAGAAAGAGAGAGAGAAAGAGAGAAAGAAAGAGCGAGAAAGAGACAGAGAGAGAAAGAGAGAAAGAAAGAGCGAGAAAGAGAGAGAGAGAGAGAGAGAGAGAGAGAGAGAGAGAGAGAGAGAGAGAGAAGGAAATATAGACATAGAGTGATCGCCCTCGTTGAGAACAAGAAAACACACCCCACTCTCACACACACACACACAAACAAACACATACATACACAAACACACACACACAAACAAACACACATACACACACAAATACAAACTCTTATTAACAGAGCATCTGTTGAGGCACATTAGGACCAGGCAGATGATGCAGAAGATAACTAAGATGAATACGCACATCACCACCACCATCGTCCATAACTTTTCACATTGGGTCTGAGCTTGCTCCAAAAAATCTTTTCAAAATAATTTTCATCATTACGTCATAATCGTTACGTCACGCTTATCATACCATAATTTATGATACCATGATCCTTAAATGATTATAATAATAGTAATTACCAAAAAAAAAAAAAACAAAAAAAAAAAGTGATATCATTACGACGTCATAATTGACACGACGTACTTATCATACCACAATCGCTACGTCATCGGTGACAATGATAGTAAAAAAAAAAAACTCGGTGACCTTGACATTGGCACCTGATCTCGATCAGCATGTGGACGACCTTCCTCTTGAGGCCCTCTTTATATTCGGCGTTTTTCTTATCCTTTGCCTCTTTGGCGGCCTTCTCGATTAAATTTTCCCCCGTGTCGTTGTCATCTTCCTCCTTGTACTCTGCACTCACATCCTGTCAATCAATTGCTATCCCTCTTTATTTATTGTGATTTACAATCCTATACAATTCACACATATACACACAGGCACATACGTACACACACACACACACAGGCACATACACACACATACGCACACACATAGGCACATAGGCACACCCATACCCTGCATCATCATCTCTTCGTCATAATTTCCAACGATCTCAATTATCATTATTATCATCATCATAATATATTATTTATTATCATGATATATTATTTTATCATGATTGTCGAAATATATCTCATCGTAAGTGTTGTCACTTTCAAAGGTACCAGAAACAACAACACCATCACATAAATTGCACGTCACAAGCTAGGAGTACTTTGCTTTTGAACCTGGTCACCGCAGTAGCACAGCCAGGCGCCTTAACCAGTACCCTGTCGATCCTATCATCATCATCATCATCACCACCTCTTTTTCTCCCTCTTCCTCTTCGTACTCTTCCTCCTCCTCCTCATCTTTTTCTTTGTTTTCTTCATCTTTATACACCTCGTCCATTGTTTTAGTCAGAGCGTGCTCCATCTATAATAATAATAATTATTATTATTATGAACAATAATAATTATTATAAATAAAAATTATTATTATAAATAGTAGTTATTATGAATGAATAATAATTATTATGAATAATAATTATTATAAATAATGATTGACAGATTTGATAATGATAATAGTAATAGTAGTAATAGTTACGACGATGATCAATCAATCATTCAATCAACACTTCACTTGTTATCGGTATATTCATAATAATAACTATAGATAACGAAATATATTATAAATAATAATAATAACAATTGACGAATTTAATAATAATAAATAATAATAAACAAATAAATAAAATAAAATAAATTAATTAATAATAATAATAATGGTAATAACGATAATAACCTTATCGATATACTGCCTCATCTGATCACCAACTTTCATTAACTCGTCTAGGAACCTGTCCTGGTTTTTCTGAATAACAACAACAAAAATAATAAACATAAACATACACACAGGCATACAATACAATATACATACAGACAAAAACATACAAACATACGTACAACGACTTATACAAATACAAATCGATATTCATTGTAGGATGTGCTTTCCTTCTGATTTTGTTTGCATATATACAAACAAACAAGCATACATACATACATACAAACAAACATACATACATACATACATACATACATACAAACGCATACGCACATACAAACAAACATATACACATACCACTAATGCAATGAGTATATCAAGCATAGGAATGAATTTGATGGTCAGGAACATTTTGGTTTGGTTTTTGATGAGGTTAAAGCCGCACATGAAACCTCTGAAAACTTCATGGCCATTGCATAATAGTGAGCCTAATGGTCCTGTTTGAATTTATGTGCGTGTTAGTTTGTTTCTTTGTTTGTGTGTGTGTGTGTGTGTCCGTGAATATACGAACGGACAAATATATAAATGAATGGATGAACGAGCAAGCAAATGAACTGATCTACCATAAAATGAATGAACGAACATGTGAATGATTGAATAAACCAATCAATCAATCAACCAATCAATCGAATGAACGAATCAATCAATCAATCAGCTGACCACAACCAACCCGAGAGAAGAATTAGAAATAGGAGGAGGTATAGGTATAGCCGCCCGAAGTTTCCAAACATGATGGGCAGCATCAGGCAGGTGATGCACCTCATGCCCACTGACCATGCAAAAGCAATGGCATAACTCAACACGAATCCTAATGCAAACTGCAACCTGTGCGTAAGTATGTATGTATGTATGTTTGTATGCGTGTACGCATATGCTTTTTCTGTTTGTATGTATGTATGTATGTACGTCAAACGGCATTATGCAAATTACTATGATGACCTAGTACTAACTACTAATATTCGATTGCCGTGATTACTTATTTCTACCACTACTGATGATACTAAGAGTATTATAGTTCAGTAATAATGATGGAAATACCTCAAGGATGCTGGTTCAAGTTCCATATGGGACAGACAGGCGTAGTACAACACTGTTGAAATAGTAGGAATCAAACCAATCAATCAATCAATCAATCAATCAATCAATCAATTACTCAATCAGCTAGTCAACGAAACAACCAGCCAATCCATCAAACTTACAGCTGCCAGCTAAAATGCCAACAGGAAAGCCAAGCAATATTTTGATGACCTTGAACTCCTCGGGGTCACTGAATATGAATCGTTCCAGGAAGGTCATTTTGGCCAGGTCTTCTCTCTCTTTTTTTTCAAATAAAAAAATGTTTTTATTTTAATAATGGTAAAAAAATAGTGAATATAATAATAGAAAATCAATGAATCAAACCAACCAAGAAACCAATAAAATAGCCAATAAGTCAACCAATCAACTAAATAATCAAACATTCAGAAAATCAACATCAATCGACATACTAATCAATATATCAATCAGCTAATCAAAAAAAAAAAAACAAAAAAAAAAATAACTTTGTCTCCATCTTTTTTGTAGCCACTCCTTCTTGGCAGATTCACTGTCATCGGGTTTGCTTTCTTTCTCACCTTTAGCCTAGTTCCATCATTATTAATTTATTATTAACTATTACTGTCTATTACTAACTATAATAAAAAGTAATAAAACATTGTTAAAGAATAGTTTTACAATGAAAGGAAATTGAAAATTACTACAGAAACAGCAGTTTTTAATCAATTTATTCTGACATAACTTACTTTATCATCATCATCATCGTCATCCTTATCATCATCATCCACTGTAAACATATCATCAACATCGTCGTCATCATCATCAGATCTATTTTTAGGCATTTTCAGGATAGTCAGGGGTCTTTGACTCTTATGTTAATCAGCTCTGCCTGTATGTCATTTTGAGTGACAAAAAAAATAAATGAATAACAATGATTTAGTAGAAAATTATAGATTGATATAATTATTATATTAAAATATATGTGATAATATGTTGAATTATATCAAAAGTTGTTCATCTATTCTTTTGAACTATCAAGTTGGCTGTTGAATTATTAATGTTAATCAAAACGCCAGAATACCAAAACCATCTATCTATCTATCTATCTATCTATCTATCTATCTATCTATCTATCTATCTATCTATCTATAATATAGATTCTATATCTATCTATCTAGAACAATCTACTAATAATATAATAAATAAGCAACATAAAGAAAAAATAAATTAAGAAAACAAATTACCAGAAAATTCAGTGGCGGCCGAAAATTAATTCACGATACTAAACGACGACATAAAAAAATTCAAACTCCCTGCAGAAACTCCAAGAGAAAAAACCGTTAAACCGTTTTTCAAAATTTGAAAAGCTCAATCGACATTTGGCGTTACTAAGGGTAATAAATTGCATAGATACGTACATAGGTATTATACCTATATATATATATATATAATATATATAGGTATATATTATACATATTATACTATACCTATATATATATATATGTATATATATTACATATATCTAAACATATATTATAGAAATAATAAATACATAAATATTATTATACACACACATATATATATAAAATATATGTATATTAATGATACAATATGTTTATAGTAAAAAATACTAAAAATATTAATGAAAATAATAACTATTGACATTTATTAACTAACTTTACAATGTTACTTATTTTTCTAGCAGATAAAATATACACAGACAGATGAACGAACACACACACACATACATGTATATATATATATGCACACACACACACACAGAGAGAGAGAGAGAGAGAGAGAGAGAGAGAGAGAGAGAGAGAGAGAGAGAGAGAGGAGAGAGAGAGATAGGCATAACATATGTACGAACATATAAAATTCAAGTTTATTAGAACGCATTTATGAATAAAGGCAGAAACATTACAGATTCTAAAAAGACAAAAATTGTCATTCAAGTTCCAGGCCGTTAAAAAACAAGACTTTTTCAAATATTATAATTCAAAGTGATATAAATATATATAATTTGATTAAATTTCATATATTAAATAAAAAATAATAAGAATAACGATTAAAAACCCAAAATATAACATCCCACGATGAAGAATAATTAACATTAATAATAATGACCAATAATAAATTGATAGAGTAAAAATTAAGACTATAAAATGACGAGTCATTTATATAACGCTGAAAATCATCTGGCAGATCCATAGCCGGGGAATAATAGATCAAGAGCCCGCGTCAGATTAGGATTAGTGAAAAATTTCATGGCCGCCAAATCGGCGCGACAGATGGCGCACGTTTTGACACCGGCTTCGAATGAGCGAGTTAGGCAATCCTGTAGCAAAAAAGTTAGTTGCATGTGATCGAGATGATTTTATCTAAATATAATAAAATATAATTATTATTATTATTAATAAATAATAATAATAATAAAAATAATTATTATTATAATATAATATTAGTGATAATAATATAATATATAATAAATATAACCTTGCAAAAGTTGTGCTGACATGTCGTTGTTATGGGCCGATAGACAATATCCTGGCAACATATGCACGTGAAAGTTGACTCTACTTTTTCTAAGAAACTCTGGGGAAATCGTTAAGGAATCAAATTATAGATCTAGACAATATTCTCTCCACTCATTAACCCATTATTGCCGATCAATCAATCAATTAATCAATCAACTAATCAATCAATTAATTAATCAATCAATCATATTTATCCAACAATTGTTCATTCATTCAGTTATCCATTAAATCTCCATCCGTTATTCATTCACTCATCCACCATTCACTCAATCACTCATTAAAACCATCCATCCACCCATCCATACTTTTTTGCCATTTCTAGCAGCCGACAGGGCATCCTTCCAAAGTTTATCATTGATGACGTCATCGTCAATGGCCTTCAGCAATTCATCATCAGGCGAGTAACTCACCACCGCCTGTACGTTCTCTTTATCTGTCACGTGATCAATGTGACGACGACGATGATAATGATGTTACTGATAACGATGATGATGATGTTACTGATAACGATGATGTTTGTAGCATTAACGACGACTACGACGATGATGATGGTGACAAAGATTAGGACGATGATGAGTGCGGCGGTGATGGCAAGCCAAAAGAAAAAGACCCCCAAAAAAATATCAATTAACCATCTCTGGCACAGTCCAAATCCAGTTTGGTCTTTTTTCTTTTATTGGAAGAACCCAGATCGAGACTATTACCATCATCACCACCATCATCATCATCAGCATCACAAACATCGTCGCTATCACCAGCATCATCGTTATCATCATCATCACCACCATCATCCAAATTCCTCTTTTTCTTCTTCTTCTTCGCCATCATCTTCTTAATCATTTTCCTTTTACTATTTTTACTATTACCACTACTACTATTCTCAATATCATCATCATCATCATCGTCGTCGTCATCCTTCCCTTTTGATTGGCTGCTGTCTTTTTTTGGCTCCTCCCACCCGTCCGGATACTGTAAACAACAACAAAAATATGAGTTGGCAATATTCTAAAAAAATAAATAAATAAATAATTAAACTTGAAAAATAAAATGAAATTCGTAGCCCCTAGCCAACCTGCATGACGAGACCCAGCATTTTTGACCTGTCGGCTCCCTCCTGGGTCCAGGGGGCGGGCTCAGGGTCGTCCCTCCTCAACAAATATTTCCACACTAGAAAGCCGGATTTGCCCTTTTCAGGCCAGTACTTTACAACCTGCAGATTATTTCATCATCACCATCAACCTAATCATCATCAACACCACTATCAACCTCATCATCAACATCAACCTAATCATCATCATGATCAACATCAACCTTATCATCATTATCATAATCACCACCACCAATACTCCAAGTATCATACAATCCTGATGTACTTTCATAATATATGAAGACTTGCACGTCTCAACATCTGTTGGAATCTAATTTTTATTGAAAGAAAAAAAGAAAAGGAATACTGCAATACCTTATAAATACCGTCGTATCTGTTGCCATCTTCAGGCGCGTATTGGGAATGCTTCCGACCCTTGCTATTTCTAACCACCCTAACCGGCTTACCTGATTTTAGGGCGGGGAAAAAAAGTAAGTAAGACGGTAGTATGGAAAAGTGTGTCGATGAAGTCTGGTTAGAAAGAAAGGAAGGAAGTTTACGCCATAAGCATCAACATTCTAATCTTCATTCTAGTTAGGACCTGGTCATCATCATCATCATCATCATCTTAGGCGCATCATTATCATCATCGTCATCACTTCCGCATCATCACCATCGTTTCCATATCATCATCATCATCATCACTTCTAGATGATCGTCATCAACACCTGCTTTCCAGTTATTAGCCTCAGCTCCTTCTTTGCTATTGATGGGAGCATCACAATTCTTAGCAAGAGCCCTTGAAGAAAATGAACATTAATAATAATAATAATACTAAAAAAAACAATAATAACAACAACAACAACAATAATAAATAACTTAATAAATAAATAAATCTACCAGTATAACGCGATAGAAACACTACATCAGCTACGCCAACTATCAATCAACCAATCTTCGTTTTGCGTCCAGAGACCCGGTTTCCCGAGGTAGGACGTTGTTTTCTTTGCCATCAACTTTTTGCGCCAAATTAGACGATCAGTTGTATCCATTTCATTTGAATTTAGAGCTTTCATGTCTGGCTCGACATGTCATGTCATGTCTTACGCCAACTAGCTAGCTAAAATCATCTCTATCTTGGCTGTAATGATTACATTATGCACATCCCTAATTCCACTCACTTGTTCATTCTAGTTAGGACCTGGTCACATGACTGGCCGGCCGTCCTTTTGTTTCCTGACAAATCCCTACCCCCACTGCCCGTGTAGGTGAACTCGTACCCATCGTCCTTTCGTGGAAATTATTATTATAAAATTATTTTAAAATTATTATCGAAATAATTATTATAAAATTATTAATACTATAATAAAATTCTTGCGATAATTATGATATAGACGACGAAATAAATAAGAGATAATAAACAAACAAGCCAAAAAGCAAAGAAAACAGATGAACTAGAAAGGTGTGCGCTAACTAAATCATCCTCATAGCCGCCAGCCAGGACGATAGAGTAGGCCCCCTCGTTCTCCCTCCCGTGGATGCCGGCAACATGGGGCCTGTGGACCCCAGATTCACTAACCTTCAAACCAATTAGGGAAATTAGACATGAAGTTTAAAAACTGTAACTACAAAGACGACATCCAAATTGAGGGATTTTGTTTCGGACGTTAAATTTGTTTCAACATAGGAGATCAATTTATCACCCAAGGCACCCCCTAGACAGGTATTTCCACCCACCCTCCCTCTCTGTCCACTAACCTGGACTCTGAACTTCCAAAGACTACCAACTTCGACCCCAGGAACTGGTCCGAAATGATTTGAAGGGACGATCGTACACATCTTCGATCTACCCTGGCAGGCCATTCCCTAGATAATAAAAAAAAAACAAAGATAATAGAATAATAATATAAAAGTTATTTATATAGGGCCTTATTTGCTTAACTTCTTAGCCAACGAAACTCAAGACGCGGTGATTTTGATAACTTCTTATCTTATTTTGTATCTTCTACGTTCGCCATTTTGTTTTGGTCTCTAAATGGACAAGCGTGTCTGACAATAGAAGATCGAAAAAAAATTTAAATAACAAAAAGGTCACCATTTTGTCCTTGACCTAGCCAACCTTTCCCCAATCCCTATTGGATGAGGATTGTGAGGAGGCCATCTTGGTTTTTTTACTGCTCTCCTTCAATTTTTCGCCGGCTCGAACAACTTGAGACGTGTCGAGCTTGCAACCAGGACAATACCTTACCATGACGAATTGTAAATAATAAATTAAATTATGATGAGTTGTAAATAATAAATTAAATTATAACGAATTGTAAATAATAAACTAAATTATGACGAATTGTAAATAATAAATTAAATTATGACGAATTGTAAATAATAAATTAAATTATGACGAATTGTAAATAATAAATTAAATTATAACGTTTTTTTTTGTCATTTTTACACCCCACACCAGACTATTTCACATTCCCTTCACTGTTCACCAGACCATTCCACATTCAACTGACCATTCATCGTCATCTGGCACAGACAAGAGAGGTGGTTTCAGGCAGTAGATATGGTAGGCGGAGTTACACTCGTCACACATCAGCTGCTTCTCCGGTTCCTTCTTACTCCCACAGACACAGCAGGAGCAGTGTTTGCACTTCCTGGCAGGATCATCTCTGCAGTGGTCGCATTCAGGTTTCACTGGTCCTTAGGTTTGCGGGACGTTGAGGTTGGGATGTGGGATATGATTGGGACGTTGAGGTTGGGATGTGCGATATGATTGGGATGTTGAGATTGGGATGATAGGATTGGGATGATGGGATTGTGATATGATCTTGAGGTGTTGATTGTGATTTGGGATTATGATTACAATTGTGTGTCAGTAATTTCCCAATCTGAAATATGAAAATAACGAATTTGAATATATATATATATATACTGCTAAATAAATTAGCATAGCAAATTCACAAATAACCTAATGAATTATCATAACAAATGACTACCAACCAACCAACCAACCAACCAACCAACCAACCAACCAACCAACCAACCAACCAACCAACCAACCAACTAACCAATCAACTAACCAATCAATCAACCAACCTAACAACCAACCAATCAACCAACCAACCAATCAATCAACCAACTATTTGGAATGTTTCCAGCTACTTCACCATCTATCATAGAATTCCTCTGAGAGCCTGGAGATTCAATGACAAAAATTTCATTCATAAAAGGCAGTCTGCAATTTTCCATCGGCACAAGGTCTTTCCTGATATCTCGGAATGTTTGAAAGGTTAATTTAAATACATAAAAAACTTTTCTCTGATTGGTTAGTTAATTTTTAACAAAATTTAAAAAAAAACTGATAAAAAGTAATACCCAATGTAAATAGTTGCATAAACATCTTTTGAAGATTTAGTGTTTTTGATTTCAGTGATGACAGCGTCGTACCAATACCCTCTGTCAGCCGGCTCGTCGTAATTATAATTGACCATGACCTTCTCACTAACTTTCAGGTCGATTAGGGATATCTTTCTGTAGGAACGTGGTCTGAGATCTTTGCTCGTGACTATCGTCAAATCGCTGCTATCGTCATCTCTGACAAAGTTAATTATAATGGAATAATTATAAATTGTAATTATGAATAGAGATGAAATTTATTTTAATGAATGAATGAATGAAAAAATGAATGAATGAATAAATCAAAAAACCATGCCTACCCTATATATCTGACATGGTATTCATAGCCATCATCATCATCACCATCATTTTTGTCATCATCATCATCATCGTCCCTTTTGGATCCATGATTAGTTTCATCCTTCTTCTTCATTTTATCTTCTTTCATTCCACTAACTTTGCTTTCTTTATCATCTAGACCAATGTCTTTACTACTATCATTACTATTACTAATATCATTATTATTACTGTTATTATTGTTGATTCTGCGAGTCCTGGGGACAACCTTGACGAGATCACCTTCGAACCAGGCACCTAATGTCACATCCCTAATGTCTAGTACATCCCCAACCTGTATATAGAATTATATTTATCAATTTATTATTATTATTTTTATTATTATAAGTTATCAATACTTTTAACTTTACCATTTGTTTATGAAAATAAAATAAAAAAAAAAACACCTTATACAAATTATTCTTTTTATTTTCAACCGTCAGCTGCTCTTTATTTAATTGTGTACTACCATCATCATCATTATCATTATCAGTGTTTATTTTATTATTATTTAAATTATTATTTTCATTATTATTATTGGCCCCATCAGTAGTTGATTCAGATGTAGGATCTTTTTCATCTTCTTCTAATATCGGCCTGACGAGAATTAGGATAACTTCATTCAGGGCAATGTTGTAATCGAATAAAGTATGGCCATCGACCATCTGTCAGGTAGAAAATAATTTCTACAATTTAGTATGTAACAGTCAAAAAGAAACATAGGCTCATAAACTACTTAAGTCTTAAAAAAAGGTTACTTAGTTTTTTAATTAGAATTTAAAATTAAAATAAATAATTAAGATTAAATACAAAACCGAAATTTAAATGAAAACCACGTGACTAACCATTTTTCCACGGCAGAATAGTTTCTGTCTTTCGACGGGGGCGTCAAAGTGTTTCACTAACTTTTCACGTAAATTTTCAATTTTCGTTAACTTGGACAGTCCATCGATGCGGACCAGCTTTTTACCGTCCATACTCCGTACTTGTATCCACATTTTTTTCTATCTTTTTTATTATTAAATAAATTATTTTTAATAATTTAGGTTGAAAATTTATAAATTTTGCCAGAAAAAATGTGAAAATGTGAAAATTTAGTTTAAAGTTTCGCGGTTTGAATGTTAGATGTTGAGATTAGCATGATGTGGATGAGATGAAAATTTTATTACTGTTCACCTGTAAAAATGAAATATAACGTAAAATTTTCATGAGATATATCATAAATATTAATTGAAAAATAGACCAAATATATTTAAATAAACAATATTTTACTTAATTTTTGTTAAATTCTCACAAATTTTCTCCTAAACACCTGTATTACAAATAACTCAGCACTTTTTAAAGGGACGTAATGTACAAACGTGTGCGAATTCAAAAAAAAAATGACGTTTCTGACAGTTGAAAAAAATGAATCATTCTTTCAAAATCCGCTCAAATTTATTCAAAATTTCAATTTAAATTAACAATTTAATTATTATTCTACTTAATTAAAACTTTAAATCGGAAAAAATGAAAAGTTTAATGTCAAATCCGAAGGATTTCATGAACGCATCTGGAGGTGCTTGTGGTGTTAATAAGGTTGCCGACGCTCAAATCGACGCCGAAAAAATAGCCTTGGGGCAAGATAAAACTAAGTAATGTTCAATTTTATTAAGTTTTGTCAAGTCCTGTTAAGTAATATTCAGTGGTTTCAAGTGGTATTCTAGTAATGGTATTATCATTAACATTGAATAATATAATATAATTCAGTATGTACTTTGACGATGGTTTGTTTAATTATGGATCACAGACTCCCGAACACTAATTAAGTTAGATGGCTTAATGATAATAATCTGTTTAATTACTAATTACTAATAGACTGAGCGATATAGTGAGAAAAGGAGTGTCGAAGTTGAGGGATTGGACGATTGCCATCTTCTGCCCTTGTTGTCTCGAGCAGAAAGAAGGCATCGCCAAGTTGTTCCACTTCCAAAGGTGTAACATGTTTGCAAATAACCCGTACATGAAAGAGCTTTATACCAACGTTATCGGCTAGTATTTTTTATTAGTAGTAATTATGTTAGTAGCAGTTGTGGCAATTGTAGTAGTAGTAATTGTAGTAGCAGCAGCAGCAGCAGTAGTAGTAGTAGAAGTAGTAGTAATAGTAGTAATAGTAGTAGTAGTAGTAGTAGTAGTAGTAGTAGTAGTAGTAGTAGTAATAGTAGTAGTAGTAGTAGTAGTAGTAGTAGTAGTAGTAGTAGTAGCAGCAGCAGCATTAGTAGTAGTAGTAGTAGATGTTGTTGATGTGGCGTCCAAATTTCAAATGTGGCATCATGTTGGCTAATAAATTTTTATATGGAAGAATTGTATACAAATCTTTCGGTTAATGTTTTGTAACAGTAGTATTAGTATTAGTAGTTGTTGTTGTTGTTGTAGTAGTAGTAGTAGTAGTAGTAGTAGTACTACTTAAATACAAGAGTGTCGTATTCACAATCCCACTTCAAGACTCTGTCAAATACTAGTACAACTGTTTCCGAAATTTCTAAAACCACAGCATTCACGGCCGGCTGGCTCGTAACATTCAGCGCAGCGATGGTCATGATATACGTATTCGACTATGACGCTTGGTATTGGTTCCTTTACTGTGGGGCTGCGGGTCTCTTTATCAGTTTTCTACTCTGGTTCAACCCGTTTGTAAGGCTCTATATATGCGTTGTTACCATTAACATTGCTTCAGGTTTGTTTGCTGGCTGGCTAGTTGAATGTGTGTGTGTGTGTTTGTTTGGTTGTTTGTGTGTGTATGATAGGGTTGTAAGATTTGTACGTATTTTTGTTGCGTCATTCGATCGTTTTGTTTGTTTAAATTTGATGTACATCAATCGACCAGCCAAGGAAAAAACCAACCAACCAACCAACCAACTATCCAACCATCTAACCAACCAACCAACCAGTCAACCAACCAACCAACTATCCAACCATCTAACCAACTAACCAACCAACCGACCAGTCAACCAACCAACCAACTAACCAACCAACCACAGAGAAAATAACATGGGCAATGTTGATCTACGCCATCTACCTTATAACTCAAGGGCCAGTCGTCAACATCAGGCTAAACTCGGAGATCATTATAACCGATTTGGTGTGCTTGGTTGAAGCCGTCTATAACCATACAATAAACTTTGGCGACAATGCTGCCAACCCATTGAATAGTTAGTCGATTCGCTATACTTTTCCAGTAAGCAAGTAACTGCATTACTAAAATTAGCTACACCACTAGTAGTAGTAGCAGCAGTAGGAGAAGCAGCAGCTACGTCACCATTAGTAGCAGCAGTAGCAGCAGTAGTAGCTGCAGCAGTAGTAGCTGCAGCAGTAGCAACAGTAGTAGCTGAAGTAGCAGCTGCGGCAGTAGTATTCGTAGTAGCAGCTGCAGCAGTAGTAGTAGTAATATAGTGGTAATGAGGTATTTTTTCCACGCAAAGGTGCCTACAGCTCTATGGAAAAGAATAAGGAGCTGATGAACAACTACAGCGATTACATACGGTCCGGGATCCAAATGTTCGTCAAAACTGTTAAGTTCCACCGTTAGCTTTCAGAAATTTTTAAAATTATCATCCTCGTCATAATTATTAACATCGTCATAATTATTATCAACGTCATAATTATTAACATCATCATAATTATCATCATCATCGTCATAATTATTATCATCGTCGTCATAATTATTATCATCGTCATAATTTTCATCATCGTCATAATTATCATCATCGTCATAATTATTATCATCGTCATAATTAACGTCATTGTCATAATTATTATCATCGTCATAATTATTATCATCGTCATAATTATCATCCTCGTCATCATCATAATTATTATCATCGTCATAATTATTATCATCGTCATAATTATTATCATCATCATAATTATCATCATCCTCATTATAATTATTATCGTAATCATAATAATTATATTCGAGATAATTATAATTATAGTTATAATTATCTCAGAGGGGATGTTGAGGATGATCGCCGCCAAGTGTAAAAACTTCAAGAGCCTCTGTACATTCTTCGTTGACTTCATGTGTAAGAAGTGCGAGGTCATTCTACTTTTTCCATACAGGAATTGCAAGTAATTATTATTATAATTACAATAATAATAATAATGATGATAATAATAATAATAAAATCAAATAAAAAAAATAATCAAATAATAATTTAAATTTAATAATTTAATAATAAAAAAAATAATAATAATTATAATCATAATAATAATGATAATAATAATAATAATGGGAATATCTTTTATTTTTCACCATAAAAAAACATACAATATTTAAAATATATATATATATAATAATAATGATAATGATAAATAAAAATATATAAATAAAATATATAAATAATAATAATAATGATGATAATAATAATAATAATGGGGACATCTTTTATTTTTCACCATAAAAAAACATACAATGATAAAAAAAATATATATATATATAAGTTAATGTCAATAAAATAATGCGCAATGATAAAATTTGTAAAAATGCTATAAAATAATATTAAATAATAGTAATAATAATTTGAACTCTTTTATTATTGCAGAAGACATAAAATCAAATCAAAATAGATAAAATGAAATAAAATAAAATAAAATAAATTGTTAAAATTGTAATAAATTGTTAATATTGTCATGCACGATAATAATAATAATAATAATAATAATAATAATAATAATAATAATAATAATAATAATAATATTGGTAGTAGTAGTAGTAGTAATAATAATAATAATAATAATAATAATATTAGTAGTAGTAGTAGTAGTAGTAATAATAATAATAATAATAATAATAATAATAATAATAATATTGGTAGTAGTAGTAGTAGTAATAATAATAATAATAATAATAATAATATTAGTAGTAGTAGTAGTAGTAGTAATAATAATAATAATAATAATAATAATAATAATAATAATAATAATAATAATAATAATAGTAATAATCATCATCGTCGTCGTCGTCATCGTAGGCGTTATTTGAGCTACATGTTCTTGACAGTGCTCTGCAACCCGCTCATGATTGGCTACCTCATGTGCTTCTACTTCTGTGGTCAGTCGGCTGCTAGAATTAAGGCCATAATTTTCATCATAATTAATTTTAATTAATTAATTATAACAGTGGTCATAATTATTTCACTGTACATACATAGACACATACGAATATTATTATTATTATTATTCTTCCATAACAGTAATAAAATACCTGCTATGTTATATGCCACAAGCTTTCGGAGCCATCATACAGATGTGGACCGCCCTGACCAGTAAAGATAAAGATAATACTACTACTACTACTACTACTAATAATAATAATAATAATAACAATTATTATTATTATTATAACGATGATAATAATGATGATGATGATAATGTCTAATGGAATTGATTGTAATTAAGTGTATTCAAATGGATGCACGATTCTCTCATACTACTACTATTATTACTACTGCTACTACTACAACTACTACTGCTACAACTACGACTACTACTACTACTACTACTACTAATAATAATAATAATAATAATAATTATATTAATAATATTGTGTAAAGGTTAGGACGCCCGGTTCAACTGTTGTAATGACCAATTTGAAATGCGAAATTGTGTATGTGTGTATATAAGTGGGTGTGCGTGTATGTATGTATGTATGTGTGTGTGTGTGTGTATCATCATCATCATTGTTATCATCATCATTAACATCTTTTTCATCACACCGTCGTCGTCGTCAACACCATCATCATCATCATCATCATCCTCATCCTCATCAGGTTCTATAGGGAAGAGTATATCCGGACTAGTAGGAAGCGCGGATTTTAGTGTCGAAGTGAGGATCATTATCAACATCGCCATCGTCATCATCATCATTACTACCACTACCATCATCATCATCATCATCATTGCCACCGTCATCATCGTCATCGCCATCATAACTTTCGTCATCGTACATGGACATTTTGAAATCGATAAAAACCACTTTCTACTCATTTGCTTTTTATCGTTGTGACCATAATCATTTTCACCATCGTCCTCATTATCAATCAACAGTATATGTAACTAGGTCACCGTAAGTAATCATCATCATCAGTGTCATCATCATCATCCTTCGAAACTAGGTCATTTACATAACAGTATATGTAACTAGGTCACTGTCATCATCATCATCATCAGTGTCATCATCCTCCGAAACTAGGTCATTTACATAACAGTATATGTAAGTAGGTCACCGTCATCATCATCATCAGTGTCATCATCCTCCGAAACTAGGTCATTTACATAACCGAGTATGAGGTCACGCAGACGAAAACGTTCGTTGACGTGGCGAAGAAAATCTTCACCGAGGCCTTCTACGGCGTGTACAACTTCATCGTCAAGTATAGCCAGTATGCTCTCTACTTCGTGTACATGCTGGTCGCTAATCTCTTTATTGAGTTTGTACTCTCCTCTACCGTTCTTACTGTTCAATGAAAATTGAAATGTAGATGAAAAAGTTTTTTTTTTTTTTTTTTTTGTAAGTTTTTGTGGTGAAGTGAGTGGCGGTGTAGTTGGTAAGGTTTCAGGCTCGGATGTTGCAGAGAATGTGTTCGAATGCGTAGTGATCCTTACTTGTTATATGTGCTGAGTCCACAGGGGCTGATTTCAATTCCTATTATTATTATTATTATTATTTTATTATTGTTTACATTTCATTCAGCTCGTACTTTTAATATTATTCACACTTACACATACACATACTGACGCATACAAACACACACACATTCACACAAAAAACACACGCACATAAAAAACACACACAGACGCCGCACACAACCACCCACTGACAAACACACTCACAGACAAACACATATACACAAACACACATACACACACGTACACATACACACACGTACACACACATACATTCACATACACACAGAGCCCTGTGGTACATCTACAACTACTACTGCTTCGACCGACACGACAACGTCATCGTCAACAGCACCATGAAGGAAATTGATGAGAGGAGGAAACGGAGAAAGAGGCCCATCATCTTGCCCCTCAGGAAACCGGAAAAGGAAATCTACGGAGAGGAAGGTGGGAGATAGTGATGTGGAGAAGAAAGAGAAAAAGAAAAAGAGAGAGAGAGAGAGAGAGAGAGAAAAGAAGAAGAAGCAAAAATGTAAAAACGGTCTACCATTTCGCCTCTGAAGAATAAGTAAAGAAAAGGAAATCAACAGAGAGGAAGATGGGAGATGTTGATGAGAGAGAGAGAGAGATAAAAAGTGAGACGAAAAAAAAAGAGAGAGAGAAATTAGAAAAAAAGAGGTCTACAATTTTAGCCCTTGCGGAAGCCAGTTGAAGAGATTTATAGAGAAGATGGTGGAAGAAAGAGGATAAAGAGAGAAAGAGAGAGCTTGTGAGAGAAAGAGAAAAAAAATGACGATGATTTGATGATGATGATAAGAATGATGAAAGGATATTCATCATCATCGCCATTTTTTTTCCTCATCCCACTTAGGCGGGGATTTATCAGATAAAGAATTGAAGGGAAGAAAGCCAATGATGATATTCATATGCGTGCTCTACTACTTATCGTTACAGGTACCATTCATTTAATCGTTTCGTCATTCGTTCATTCATTCATCCATTCATTCATCCATTCACTCATATATCCATCCATACATCCATCCATTCATCCATCCATCCATCCATCCATCCATCCCTCTATTCATTTGTTTATTTATTTAGCGCCCATTTTCGTCATCAGCATTTTCATCATCACGAATTTTAAAGATTATTCTCATGAGTTATTTTTTCATCAATCTATTCATTCATTCATTCATTGACCTATCCATCCATCAATTCAACCATCTATTTTCCATTTATTTATTTATTCATTCATCATTCATTCATTCATTCTTTTATTTTTATAGCGCTTAATGAACATCAAAATCCCAAATTTCAAAGGTCTTTTTGATGGATTACCTGGTTCTCATAAGTGTTGAGTCGTTCCAGAGGAACTTAGTGACAATTAAGATAATAAGTTTTGGTGAGTCTATTAATGGTTATGAAATTTGAGTGTACGTTTATTCATTTTTAGTTTGCTTGTTCATTCGTTCGTTCATTCATTCATCCATCAATCCATCCATTCATTCATTCATTCATTCCTTCGATTGTTCGTCTGTTCATCATTCGTTTATTCATTCGTTAAATCAGTTGCTCATTCTATCAATCAATCAATCAATCAATCAATCAATCAATCATTCATTCATTCAGTCAGTTAATCGTTCCGTCATTCATTCAATTTTTTTTCAACCGTCCATTTTTTTTATTCATTCATTCATCCAATTTATCCATCCATCCATCCATTTATATAGCGCTTTCTATAGAAGTTGAGGGCGAAAGTTTCCTGGCCGAGATGTATAGGACGTTGGTGGAGTCGTTCGCTGCCGTTAAATCTGACAAAAACATCCTGGCCAGCTGCACCACAAAGGTTTTCGAGTTCAACCTAAGAGATCTCCTTAGAGTTTGTAAGTCACTCTTTCTTTTTAATTCTCTTTCTTTTTTTCTTGACTCTCTCTCTCACTCTCTCTTTTTTTATTTTCCACCTGTTTCATTCCTTTCTCTACCGTTCTCTATTTCTCTCTCCATCTTGCTCTATCATTCTTTCTCTCTCTCTTTCTTTTATTTCTTCATTTTCATCATCACCACCACCACCGCAATCATCATCGTCGTCATTATCATCAACGTCGTCACCACCATCATCGTCACTATCGTCGTCATCATCATCATCACCACCACCATCATCATCGCCACCATCATCATCGTCGTCGTCACTATCATCATCACCGTCACCATCACGACAGCGTTGATCTACGCCTTCCTCCTGGCATCCGTGTACTTCCGGCCGTACATTTTCCGGATCCGATTGAAAGTTTGCGACGCGTTTTACCCGAAGCGCCGCATCATGCGCGCCATCTGGCTCTACAACAACATTCTCAGGAAGCGGATACCAATGATGAAATCCGACTTCGATCGAGTCGCAGATTCGGCCGGTCGGTTATCGAAGAAGATATCGATGATCGACAAACTAGCTGCTAGGTTTCGTCTCGTTTCGTTTTTTGTTCGTTGGTTTTGTTATTTAGCTGTTAAGATTGCTATACCTACTACTACTACTATTACTACTACTACTACTACTACAACTACTACTGCTACCACTACTACTACTACTACTACTGCTGCTGCTGCTACTACTACTACTACTACTATTGCTGCTATTATAATTGCTACTACTACTTGAGGCTGCTAATTTTACAATCGCTACTTAGATTTGCCTTAGTCGACGACTGCTTACAATGCATTGGCTATGAGAGTCTGTACTGTTTAATGTGTGGCACCAGTGGCCTGCCACACGATCCTGGCTTTTTCAAGTGTAGTAGTTACGGTTGCCAAGGTGTGTATGTATGTATGTTTGTTGGCATGTTTGTTCGTTTGTTTGTATGTGTGGGTGTGTGTTTGTTTGCATGTGTGTATGTGTGAGTTTTGTGTGTGTATTTGTTTGAATGTTATAATAAAAAGCAATAATTAAATGAACGTTTGTATGATAACTAATGAATGAATGAATGAACGAACGAATGAACTGACAAATGGTTATATGATATTTACTAATAAATATTAATTTTTGCAAGTTAGTTTAATTTATTCAATCCCGACGTGTCGACCAATCTAAAATAGGTTTGTACTGCGAGGCCTGTTTCTTGGAGGCCAATAAAATTTGTGCCCTCTGCCATCGGCTCATCTCATTTGATGATGAAGATGTCAGTGAAGAAAAGTAGGCGGGGCTTATTTGATCAAGTGATCAGTTTATCAAATAGTCATTCATGAATTTATATATTCATTCATTCAATCAATTAATCAATATTTATTCAATGAATCACTCATTCATTCATTCATGTATTAATTCATTTATTCATTCATCTATCAATTCAACAATCAATCAACCAACCAATTCACTCTACCAAACAACCGACCAATCACCAATCACTCCAATCAATCAACCGTCTAATCACCAATCATTTCATTATTCATCTGACCAATCACCGATCACTCCACCAAACATCCGACCAATCACCGATTACTTCACCAAACATCCGACCAATCAGAGACTCGAGCGAGGACGAAGCCCAAGAAGACAAGCGGCAGATCGTCAAGCTTAGTAACGCCCTAAACAGTGGCAAGCCCGGCGAGCCCCACCCTGAATGGGCCCACATGAATAAGAGAAACATTAATAAAAATAACTATATTTTCAACTATAATAATAATTATTATAACTGTGGTAATAAAAATACCTATTACTATTATAATGATATCAGTTGTGCGTTAAGAAGTCGGAAGGGCACTAAAGATGCTACTACAGCCGCCACTACTACTACTACTGCTGCTGCTGCTGCTTCTACACATACCACATATAATAATAATAATAATAATAATAATAATAATAATAATAAAAGATATCGAAATACTTATTTCAATGCGTTTACCAATAACAGTAACTATATTAATTACGAGAATAAAAATAATAATGACAATAATAATTATAATAATAATAAAAATAATGATAATAATAATAACGGTAACAATAATAGTAATAATAATAACATTTTGAATCATTACCATAACCAGCAACAGCATCTTTACCTCTTCAACGATCCATATTATAACGACTACGACTACTACAACTATTGGCATAGTAGTAATAATAATAATTATAATTATGACAATAATAATAATAATAATTATAATAATAGTAATAATGGACTTGACTTTAACATCAACCGACATGCTATAACAAGTCAAATTCATAGATTCAGAACAAATGTATACAACATGGTGAACTTTGTTGACGACGATGATAATCATAATCGAAATCAACAACAACAACAACAGCAACAACAATCACATGATCAATCACATCAACAACAACGACGACAGCTAGATGTTGATCAAAAACCCCAACCTCAACAACAACAAAGACTAAATGCGCTCGATCTAAAACCTCAACAACCTCAACAACATCAACAACAACATCAGCAACAACAACAACATTTGACCCAGCAACAACAACAACAACGTCATTATCGTCGTCATCGTCGTCTTCGTCATCATAATGATCACATTGACAATGAAGATGATGAAGATAGTGATGATGTTTAATTCGGGGACTACGTTAATGATGATGACCATGACGTCATAATTGTAATATTATTGCCAATGTGTAAAGATTTTGAATTCCGTGTCGAATGTTTTGTTTTGTTTTAATATTATTTGTTGGCGTTAAACATTTTGAGGCTTGCTGAAAATTTGTAATACTCACAAACATACACACACACACACACAGACACACACACACACATACATACATACATACATACATACATACATACATACATACATGTATGCATACACACATACACACAAACAAACATACAAACGAACAAACACACGCGCATACATACACAAAATAATTCTTGGTTCAACCTTACATCTGTTGTGAATATTTTTTCGCTAAGTTCAAACTGACACGTAAAGAAAAATTTATGACCTTGTATGCTCGTTTGTTTGTGTATGAGTGTGCGTGTATGTGTAAGTGTGTGTGTATGTGTGAGTGTGCGTGTATGTGTGAGTGTGTGTGTGAACGTATGCATAAATAAGCATAGGTTTTTATACATACATACATACATACATACAAACATACATACATACATACATACATGCATACATACATACATACATACACACATACATACATACACACAGACACACAAACACACACACATACACAAACACATTCATACGTACACGCATTTTTCCCTTTCGCGAAATTTTACGCGCTCGTTCTTAGCGCCAAAAGTGTGAAACCGCAATAACCCTCAACAATAATAAAAATAATAATAATAATAACAAAAATCATAATTTTAGTAATTATAGCATACGTCATTGCCATCCTCCCAATCATCACCATTCTAATTATTCCCTTCCTTGCCATCATCGTCGTCATCATCGTCGTCGTCATCATCTCTCTCATCAAAGAAAGAGTGATCATCTTTCACTTTGTTTGTTCTCTTTCATCCATTCCTCCATCCATCCGTATTTGAATATATTTGAATATTTTTTTTCTCAAATGTATGGGTATGTATGTGTGTGTGTGTGTATGTGTGTGTGTGTGTGTGTGTGTGTGTGTATGTATGTATGTATGTATGTATGTATGTATGTATGTATGTTTGTATGCTATTGTTTTCTTGAGGCTAAACTAAGAACAATTGTTTTTCCATTTAAAGAAAATATAAAAACCGGTCTTCGGTTTATGAACCTGAACGCAAACCTACGCATTATTATTATTATTATTGTTATATTATTATAAATGAATAAAATATATCAACTGACCAATCAGTTTATAATTCAATCCAATCAATCCAGTCAATTCAGTCAATCAATAAATCAATCAATCGATCGATCGACCGACAAACCAACCAACCAATCAACCATTCTATCAATCAATTGATCAAAAAACTTCAATCAGACGAAAAAATCACCAAAGGTGGTTGCCAAAATGGATAGAGCCGGCAGAACCGTATATTGGCAGGCCCTATGAAAATAGACAGACGACACGTATGGACTAGTGGCTCTTTCTTTTTTGGGAGTTTCGTACCTGGGATTTTTCGGCCAATTCAAGTTGCAATTGTCAGCATCGTTGCATTCACAAATGAATCCTAATTTTTTTTATGTTGTGTCTTTGTTGTCATTGTTGATGTCGTTGATGTTGTTGTTGATGTTGTTGGTGTTGCTTTGTTGTTGTTGTTAATGTTGTTGATGTTGTTCGTGTTGTTGATGTTGTCGTTCACAACAAAGATATTGTATTTGCAATTGTAACAACAATAATAATGAAAGCACATAAAAACCATCAACAACAACAACGACGACGATGACGTCATCATCACCAACCAGCGGAATCCTTCTCTTTGTATTTGTAGCAGTTATATTCACCGCCTTTTGGTTCTACGCACCCCTTGGCAACACCATTAATGTCACCAATCTCCTGGTCTTCAACTGTTAAAAATTGAGTGATTAGTTGGCTGTTTGGTTGGTTGGTTGTTTGGTTGGTTGGTTGGCTGGCTGGCTGGCTGTTTGGTTGGTTGGTTGGTTGGTTGTTTGGTTGGTTGGTTGTTTGGCTGGTTGGTTGGTTGGTTGGCTGGCTGGCTTGTTGGATGGTTGGTTGGTTGATTGTAATTAATTTAGTTAGGTGGTTGATTGATTGATTGATAGATTAATTGATAGATTAATTGATAGATTAATTGAATGATTGATTGATTGATTGATTAATTGATTGATTGGATGACTGAATTTAAATTGATTGATTATTGCTGATAAGACTACAAACATAAAAACAAGAAACTAAGCCAACAAACGCAAAAACAAATTAAATTTAAAAATCCTTCCAAATAAAAAAAAAACGAATTATTCAAAAATCCCACCAAAAAAAACAAACAAAAAATTTCAAAAAATTCTCCAAGACAACAACACACCTGTATAATTCCCATGGTAACAGACTTTCGGAGCCGGACAATCGGTCACATTTTTCTTCATAACTTCAGGATCAAATGGATCCGGACAATACGGACACGCGTAGCATTTTAGTCCCATTGTACTTTGCGTTCCAAGTAAAAACAACACCATCTTTAGTAGCAGCAGTAGTTGTAGCTGAGGTTTTAGGAGAGGTTGAAGTAACGACATTGGCTTCATTAATGTTGCGCTTGGTGGTAGATTGATTTTGCGGTTTGATAGTTTGTATGATCCTTATTTATAAGGTTTTTCTTATAGAAGACCGGTTAATTCGCATATTAAATGCCCATTCATTTGTTCATGCATGCATTCATTTTTTCATTCATTCATTCCCTCATTCATTCATTCACAGTCTATGCCTTTTAGCCGGCTTGTTTCAAGCAATAAATGTTTGTTTATTTATTTACAACCTTACGTCACCAAAAGCGGTACGATCGTTTAATTATTCGATTAATATTATTATTATATTATATTATTATTATTATTATTATTAGTAGTAGTAGTAGTAGTGGTGGTGGTAGTAGTAGTAGTGGTGGTGGTAGTAGTAGTAGTAGATTTATAAATGCTGTTGTTTTTGTTGCAGTGTGTTAGTTGTACAACTTCTCATTGCAAATCTTTTTAAAAATCGCCAACGTTATCCACTCAGAATGATTTCGGTCTCGATATCTTTTGGCTTTTATTTTTTATAGTATATTTTTATTTTATATATATTTATTGTTTATATATTTTTGAATTAAAATTTATCTCAATTTTTTTTCAAAAAAAACATATTTTTGGCTATAAAATTATTTCGAATTAAAATTTATTTTAATTTTTTTCTCAAAAAAGCAAACATTTAATTATTAAAGTCAAAATGAACGCGACATTACGTTAATGAAAAATCAAAAAAAAAAACTAAGGTTCAGATCATACAGTATATACAATTATCATCACAATCATAACTATCACCACTATCATCATCGCATAACCACCACCACCATCATCATCACATCACCATCACCAGCATCATCACCAGCATCATCACTATCATTACCACCATCAGCATAAAATTCAAAACGTTACACCAACAAAAGCAACAAATTCACAACTCCAAAACAAAAAAACACTTGAAACTTTAAAACCCCCAAACTGACGGAACCCCCCTGGGGTCGAACTTCGGTGGTGAAGGGCCCTCTAGTATACTGGGCCGTAGTTGGTGTGGAAGGGTCAGTTTTGTAGGATATTTTATCTGGCCACTCTTTGTTGCAGTCAGCTTGCGGTAGCGAGCATTCGCATAAGAAGCCTGTAACTGATTCACTGTCATTCTTCCAGTTGTAGCAGGGAAATTCCTTTGGCTCGAGTTTTGGCAGGCAGCCGCGGGATGTCCCCTCTATCAGCCCGTAGTCGTCGTCGTCCACTGTCGGGTTGTGTGTGTGTGTGTGTGTGTGTGTGCGTGTTTATGTACGTACGTGCGTGTGTATGCGTGTTTGTGTGTGTGTGAATGAGTGAATGTATGAATGAATGAACAAATGAGCAAACGCTTTAAACGAATGAACGAACGATCCCCTCGACGAATGAACAAGTGATGATACAAACAAATGAGATATTGAGAGAATGAATGAATGAACAAATAAACAAACGAACGAACGAGCAAACAAACGAACGAATGATAAAATAACAAAAATGACACAATAAGCAAGCAAATGAATGAACCACACATGTGTAGTTGCTGATGTAGCAAGCTCCTGAGCACTGGACTTTTTTAAAGTTTTCCGGATTGTCGTCGAAAGGTAGGGCACAGGAGTCGCATTCGAAACAAGTCAACTGCGAAGCGACCATCATCAGGTTTGTAGGAATCAACAATAATATCAGTAGTATTTTTTCAACAACTGCTGCTGCTGTTGTTGTTGTTGATGATGTCATTGTCGTTAATGTTGGTGTTGTATGAGTAGGTGTAGTAGGAGTGTAGTAGTGGTTGTGACTGGTATGGCTGCGATATTGCAGCTGTTGTTGTTGTTGTCGCCGCTGCTAATACTACTGTCGTTGTGGTAGTAGCAGTAGTTGTAGCAGCTATTTAATATAACTAAGATTGCTCACAACGCTTTAAAAACAAGCTCAATTGAAAACACCATGTTATTAAACCATTATTTAGATGTATACACCGTTTTAATGACGCAAACAAAGAACAATTAGCATTTTTATTATTATTATTTATTTATTTAATTGTTATATTTTATTATCGCTATTATTTTTTTTTATCTAATATGCATGTTTCTCTCTCATACTTGTGGTTTTTTGGTACATGTGTTTGCTTGTATGTTTGTATGTTTGCATGTTTGCATGTTTGTATGTTTGTATGTTTGAATGTTTGTATGTTTGCATGTTTGTATGTATAGAAACAATGAAAGTAGAAGTAAGTGTAGTTGTGATAGTAGTAGCAGTAGAAGTACAATAGTTTCGGTTGCAACAAGTGTCGTAACCTTATAAATTATTTGACTGATTGACTGAATGAATGAATGAAGAATGAATGAATTAAGAATGTACGAATGAATGAATGATTGATTGATTTACGCTTATTCACGAGTTCTAATCTATCGGCCACACACAATAAACTTATACACATAGATGCATACATGTATGTATGTGTGTATGTATGTATATATGAATGTATGTATAAATGTATGTGTGTGTATGTATGTGTGTGCATGTATGTATGTATGTGTGTATGTGGTGTGTGTGCGTGTGTAAACGTAAAAGCCAAATTTGATCTTGTTTCGGCTATTCTTTCCCAACTTCGCAGGCTGTCTGTCTGTCGACAACTGAATCACTTGAAATTTCTACCTAGTCATTTAAGTGTGTGAAAAACTCAGAGCAAATTATTCTGAAAGCAAATGTTAATGGAAAATGCCATCTTCCTTCTATATGAGTCTGAGGTTTTTCGCCAGTTCCTTAGACTCAAACGAAACTTTATTCAAAAAATATTACCGTGTATACTCCATGAGTCTTTTGCCTACTGGCTCTAGATGTTGTCAAGTTCAATCAAGAAGATGTTGAAAACAGTTTCATTTAAGCCGGGTTAATAGACAGCAATGTTTGTTGACTGTGGATTTGTGTGTACGATTTTTTTGATTAAGTTGTCCGTTTGAAGTTTCTACAGATGTCATTTCGTTTCGTTTTGTTTTTGTGTTTTGACGATTGTATGAGCTTTTGAAAACTTGAATGTTAATTAACACTTTATAACATTTATATTATTAATAATAATTAATATTAATATTATTATTATACAAACATGTAAACAAACAAACAAACAAACAAACAAACAAACATGCATGCGTATTACTGCATACTGAAAAATGGTAATAAGCAATGAAAACACTTGAAGCATAACCGCAACATTATACATACATACTTACATATACATACATACATACATACATACATACATACATACATACATACATACATACATACATACATACATACATACATACATACATACATACATACATACATACATACATACATACATACATACATACATACATACATACATACATACATACATACGTACATACATACATGCATGCATACAAACATACATATACATATGTGTTACAAAATTCCTCTCAGTAACATTTGGGTTCTGACTTTGAGCGCTGGTTTTATAAATTTGGTTAGTCGGTTATTTTTTATAAAATAATTTTTAAATAATAATAACTGTTGTTATTATTTTATAATTGTTCTATCATTATTATTGTTGTTGTTTTTAATTATTTATTAACCATTTTGGATGACTTGTTCATGGTGCAGATGCCAAATTTTAACTAGAATTCAAATTGCTTATTCTATTTTTTGCCACGATCTAAGCCTATTTTAACTTATTAACATCGGCGGTATTGGAAGTAGCAGAAGCAGTAGTAGAAGAAGTAGCTGCACATCAGAAGTAGTAGCAGTAGTAGAATTTACCGTAGTAGGAGCAGTTGTGGTTATATTACTGTGAGAGTATATTAATAATAATAATAATAATAATACTTACAATTACTATAATAACAATTATAACGTCTTAATAATAATACTACTACCAATAATAATAATAATAATATAAATATTATTATTATAAATATTTTTCGTTTTTATTTTCGTTTGGTTTTTTGTATTTCTTTCGTATTTTTTGACGAGATGAGTTTTAATTGGACGTATCATTATTATTATTAGTAGTAGTTAGTGGTAGTAGTAGTAGTAGTAGTAGTAGTAGTAGTAGTAGTAGCAGTAGTAGTAGTTAGTAGTAGTAGTAGTTTCATTCATTCAATAATCCTCTGTAATCCTTTAAGGGACCGTTGAGGCCGATGGTATTTTTCTATCTCTCAAAAATCCTTTTCTTTCCCTCGCCATCTTCATTGAGCCCAATGTTCCAATCCCCGTCCAATCCGTGATATCATCCATCGACTTCCTCACAGGTCTTCCAACTTTTTTCTTCCAGTCCCTCTTTCTCATCAGTACTTTTTTGATCAGTCTGTCGTCTGTCATTCTGCAGATGTGCCCAAAGATACCCAGCTTTCTTTCCTTGACACTTTCATACACAGTTTTTTGTCTTCCAAGTTGTTTTCTTATGGCATCGTTTTTTATCTTTTGTCAGTAGTAGTAGTAGTAATAGTAGTAGTAGTAGTAGTAGTAGTAGTAGTAGTAGTAGTAGTAGTAGTAGTAGTAGTAGTAGTAGTAGTAGTAGTAGTAGTAGTAGTAGTAGTAGAAGTAATATTAGTTGTAGTATTAGTAGTGGTAGTAGTAGTTTTAGAATTTAGAATAATAGTTAGAATAATAATAATAAAAAAGAATAATAAGAATACAGCTAGACATCATTAATCATTCAATCGATTCAACGTTAACGACTACGTCAAGATATTTAATAATAATAATAATAATAATAATATTGATAATAATAATAATATTATTATTGTTATTATTATTGTTATTATTATTATTATTATTATTATTATTATTATTATAGACTTTTAGCTGATTTATATGAGTCTAAATTCTAAAGCTATTTAGTTTATTTGAAGTCTTCAAATATCCATCCATTTATACTCATTCGTTCGTTTGTTCGTTCGTTCGTTCGTTCATCTCAATCGTTCGTTCGGTCATTCATTCTAAAAATAATAATTATAGTATCTATAATAATAATAATAATCATATGTTAACCAGGTTCGCCTAGCCGTATATCCCTATCACAGATCAACAACCTCAAAATCTTCATCGTCGTTATCATCATTTCTTCTTCATCGTCTTCCTCCTCCTCCTCATCATCATCATTATCATCATCAAAATCGTCATCACAATCATCACCATTACCATCATTGACATCGTTATTACGACTTAGTATAACGGATTAGTAATTGCCAAGCGTCTAATGTAGAAGAATATGAAAGTATGACTTATAAAACACACCGAACATCGTCATCTTCATCGTCATCATCTTCATCATCAGCGTCATCATCATCATCAGCGTCATCATTGTCATCATCACCAAACGATGGCCATTCAACATCGCTAGCCCCATCAAAAATGATTTCGGTGAATAAAGTACATGGAAAAATGTTGACTACTACAATGAAGATAATAATGATGATGATGATGATGATTATGACGTCACGAATGACGTCATCCAACGCTTATACGATGGATCAGTGCGATATGATACGTCATCATCATTTCAATATGGCACTCAATGAAGGTTGTGGTTGTTGTTGTTGTTGTTGATTTGATGTGTTGTTGTTGATGGGTTGTTGTTGACGTTTGTGTTGTTTGTTGCTGTTGCTGTTGTTGATTTGTTTTTGTTGATGCTGTTGTTGTTTTTGATGTTGTTGATGCATTGTAGTTGCTGTGTTGTTATTGTTGTTGGTAATGTTTTTAATGTAATTAATAATCCTAAAATGAAAAATAACAAATCTACAAATCATTGACTTCAAAAATGAGCATCTAATGGCGATCAACTTTCATTTTTGTGCTGTTTTGAACCAAGTGTATTTGCTTATAATTATGTTCTTTATGTGGTGTTAACTTTTATAATAATAATAATTATTATTATTATTATTGCATTTATTTTCTTCTTATTATTAAAAGAATTCCATACTTCTATGGCTCTTTGAAAATTGAAAAAATTTTCAATTTCAACATTTCAAAAGAAAAACAAACAAACAAACATACATACATACATACACACCCACACACACATACATACAGACATACATGTATACATACATACATACATACATACATACATACATACATACATACATACATACATACATACATACATACATACATACATACATACATACATGCATACATATATACATATTAGTACTTTTAAAAACCTCTAGTCATTTTATTAACTTATAATCTGTTTAATTAACCTTATGTATGCTTAAAAGTGAACTTAACTTTTAAGTCTTTTAGCTAACAAATTGTTATGTATGTTTTCAAATGTATGTATGTATGTATGTATGTATGTATGTATGTATGTATGTATGTATGTATGTATGTATGTATGTATGTATGTATGTATGTATGTATGTATGTATGTATGTATGTATGTATGTATGTATGTATGTATGTATGTATGTATGTATTTATGTATGTATGTTTGTATGTTTGTATGTATGCTTGTATGTTTGCATGAATGAATGGATGAATGAATAAACGAACAAATGAATGAATGAATGAATGAATGAATGAATGAATGAATGAATGAATGAATGAATGAATGAATGAATGAATGAATGAAGAAGTAACGTTTATTTGGAATATTATCTTACCTCAAGCCATATTCAGTTACAAAATGATAGAATTAAAAGTCAAGAAAAAAAATATCAAACAGTTCTGATCATCTTTATCATCTTCGTCGTCGTCATCATCATCGTCTTCATCATTCTTGCCACATCATTATCAATGTTATCATCATCATCATCGTCATCATCGTCTCATCGTCATCATCACTATAATCTCCGCCATCAGCATTTTTTTCTAACAACTTTACACATTTTGGATCGTTTAATAGTAGCCAGTTATTTTAAACCAAACATTACTCGCCATCAATCAAACCAATCAAAAAGTTGGTAGACGAAAATCTATTCAAGGATAACAGACCTTATTCAAAAACAGTGTAGACAATCGGATCACTTTTGAAATTTTACAAATATTGCCAAACAATCGTATCCAACATTTTAAATTCTTCCTAACGTAACTGACCAATCAAATCGCGAGTCTCACATCGTCATCAATGTAACAATCCAATCAAATCACACTTTCAATCTCCACCCAATCAGCCAATCACAACAATTTACACGATCTCATATAACCAATCAAATCACACTTCAAATGTGATCCAATCAAACCTCCACTCCACCAAACCTCCACTCCACCAGCCAATCACAACCTTTCACACAATCTCAACTAATCAATCAAAACAGCTCACGCCATCTCAAATAACCATCAAAACACGACAGAATGCAAAAGAGACCAACCACTTGGAATGATATCCGGCAAAATTCAGGACTGGCAGATATCCGCTTCCTCGACTTTTCCGCGGGAATGGGACCCCCACTGTGCCCTCAGGTTTGCCAGGCTCTTCCAAGATGGAGACCAGTGTTGGTGTAGTAAGTTCAAATCCAGCTCTGAGTGGCTGCAAATTGACATGGGCCTGCCTACTAAGGTTAGATTGGGTAGGGGGTTTGTATAGGTAGTAGTAGTAGTAGTAGTAGTAGTAGTAGTAGTAGTAGTAGTAGTAGTAGTAGTAGTAGTAGTAGTAGTAGTAGTGATGGTAGTAGTGGTTTTTGAGGGGTTTATTTTGTTTTGAGAATGCTGATTTCTTTTATTCGTTTTAATAGTTTTATTTTTGTGTGCGTTCAAGATTGTAACATAGCATCCATATTTGTGCGAAACTTGCTGACATAAAAATATTGTACACACACACACACACACACACACACACACACACACACACACACACACACACACACACACACACACACACACACACACACACACATACATACACAATTACATACCTACACTCACACACGCACACACAAACAATGAAACAGACAAACGAACAAACAGACACACAAACAAACACATACACATAAGTACGCATAAGCAAGTGATCAAATGTGAATGTGTGTGTGAATGTGTGTGTGTTCATTAAAATACCCTAGATATAAACTATAAAGAAATCGCACTTACTTTACTTTACATACACACATACACACGCACACAAACACACACACATAGGCGTAATAATATTAACAAACATACTACTACTAATAATAGTAATAATAACAACAATGATAACAACATCAACAATAGTAATAATAATAATAACAACAGCAACGATCAAGCATTAATAACAACAATAAAAATTAAGGCAAATATCAGTCACACTGTGTGAGCCATGTCGTTTTATGGCAAGCCAATCTCCAATCTTACGGATTATAAGAATCTTAAGAAATTATTCATACATACATGCATACATACATACATACATACATACATACATACATACATACATACATACATACATACATACATACATACATACATACATACATACATACATACATACATACATACATACATACATACATACATACATACATACATACATACATACATGCATACAAAAATACAAAAAAAGGCTAAAAGACTATCCTTTGTTTTCTTACCATAAGAGCCCGCCACTTTTCTCATTATTCAAACGCTGCAACTCAATTTTAGGTCGAAGTAGTTGAAGACATGTAGAATATACACATTGCCGAATTCAGTAACTAATTAAAATTTACTAATCTTATTAGTAAATTTACTTATCAGTTTAATGCAACTCGACAAACCAAACCCAAAAGACAATTTGATGTGGAAGACTAAATGAGATTATTAACCAGATACCATATATTAAACTGAGGAAGAAATTTCTTTCTAGCTTTTTTGATTTCACGTGATTTTGCGCGGTTATATTCCTTGTTAACCCACACGTGTGGGCCTATGTGTAGTGTTTGCGTCCATCACATGTGTACGAGTATTTCGGGAATTCCAAGGGCTCCATGATCTTTTTAAGGGGCTCTTACAAACACACACAATACAAACATACATACACCTATATACATATATAGGTGTATATATATATTTATTTACACTACTTATGTACCAATCTTTTATTGAATATAAATGGCTGCTTATATAATAGTTAACAAGCAGTAAAGCAAAGGAATGCATAAATAACTATTTCTATTACTTTTATAGCTTAAAATACAACGTGTGAGTATGTGTGTGTGTGTGTGTGCCTGTGTGTGTGCCTGTGTGTGTGTTTTTTTTCAGGTTTGGAAATACTCTATGTATTTCAAGGTACATTCCCTGAATATGATGTCAGACTCGAGTAGATCCCATACCGACTAAAAACCACTTCGACCTCTGACCTCTGTTTCCCCGCTGACCCACTGTTGGGCGTTACTACACTGGGGAAGGATCATAGACATGTACTATTTCTTCAGTTTTTAGAAACCACAAACTTTGAATATCTTTAATTATTTTTGCACAAATTATGGGGAACGTCCCTAACCCAATCACCTTTTGACGAAAGCATAACTCTCATTATGTTCTCTGGCTAGATTTTCTTTTGGAAAACAGTTTCCAAATTTTTTCTAAAAATGTTGAAGCGGTTACACTCTGAAAATACGTATATATGTATGTATGTATGTATGTATATATGTATGTATGTACGTATGTATGTATGTATGCATGTATGTATGTTTATACATTTTTATAGCTAATGAAACATAAAGAATGACTTATTAACAATAGCGAGGAATTCTTGCGATGTGATAACCGTAAAATAATAATAATAAAAATAACAATAATAATAATAACAATAATAATAGTAACAATAATAACGTATTTAATAATAATAATAAAATTATGCCTTTTAATGCTAACAACAACGCAATAGCAATTTGTTATGCAATGTCAGTAGAATTTGTATTAGTAATTGCTTTGGTACTAGGTATTCATGGGGAGTATATACTTAAAACATTTTATTATTTTTATTACTATTTTTTGTAAACTTCAAACGGCTCCTTTTAAGATGCAGCACACATTTGAGTCGCGTGGATTAGTTTTTGTAAAGTGGAAAAGACGATTTTGAAGTTGCGTCCGAAGCTTTTTTGAAGTGGCGATTGTCGCGCCGCATACGGCAAAGTCCCCGGTTCCTACAGGAAGCAATTTTGAAAATAATTTTGTCTTCTTACTGTGAGTCGATGAAGGCCTAACAAAACCTTACTGGAACGATTGAACGTTCATCCATCTGAGATCAACTTTTTCGCGCGATTCTGGCTTGACTAGAGACGAGCCATTACTTTGTTGTTGTTGTGTTGTTTGTTGTTGTTGTTACGCTGTTACAGTATTAGTATTACTATACTAACAGTTGTAGTTGCAAGGCAGTGGTCGAAGTAGTAGTGATAGTATTGGCAGCAGCAGCAGCAGTAGTAGTAGTAGTAGTAACGGCAAGTTGTAGTAGCAGGCTTGCATTACAGCAGTGAATAAAAGTTAAAGTCAAAATAAAAAAAAAGCATAAAAGAATAAAAAAAATTTAACTTTATGTTTTCAGTTAGATGTAAGATATTTCAAAAATTTTTATAATGATTCCGACAAACATTTAAATATATTTCTGTCTGTGTGTGTTTGTTTGTTTCAAGCACACACACATACACTACACACATATATGCACATTTGTGTGTGTCTTGATTATTTATTTATTTATTTTCATTTTATTCTATTCATATATTTTTATTTTCAATGCAAACAACTAATTTACGTTTTGAACAAATGTATGCATGCATGTATGTATGTATGTATGTTTGTATGTATGTATGTATGTATGTATGTATGTATGTATGTATGTATGTATGTATGTATGTTTGTTTGTTTGTATGTATGTGTGTGTGCGTGTGTTTGTATGTATGCCTTAAGTCATTTAAAAAGGTTGACTGGCTAACATTTCTAACATTCCGTCACAATTCATTACATTACATTGCGTTAGGCTTGTCTTGTCGTGTCTTTTATTCTTTCATTCATTTGTTCATTTCGTCGTTCGTTTGTTCGTTCGTTCGTTCATTTGTTCATTCCGTCGTTCGTTTGTTCGTTCGTTTGCTCATTTATTGAGTTTCGATTTTTCTTTTTCTCGTCCAGTTATTTATGTAGAAACATATTTTCATTCTAGTTTAAATATTTAAAAAATTCTTATAGGTCCGTTTATTTTATTAATTTTTTTCCATATCTTGCTTCTAAAATGATTCTTTCGTCCAATTATTTTTTCGATCCTTCAATCATTCGTTTGTTTGTCGTTCATTCATTCGTTCATTCATTCGTTCATTCATTCATTCAATCATTCGCTCCTTTCTTCCTTCCTTCACTCCTCACTACCATCATTTATGTTGTCGTCATGTTATTACGACTGCAATTATGAAACACATGTGTTGGTACATTTGTTTGCATGTATGTGTTTGTGTGTGTGTGCGTATGCTTGTTATTGTTTGTGTTAATGTAATTGCTGCTGTTGTTGTTGCTATTATTATTGTTGTTGTTGTTGTTGATGATGTTGTTATTGTTGCAGTTAAATAAGAAGCACACAGACCGTTGAATGATTGAAGGCTAACCTGAACGCATTTCTTGTTTGTTTGTGTGTGTGTGTTTGTGTGTGTGTTTGTTGGTATGTATATACGTACGTACATACGTACGTATGTATGTATGTGTGTATGTATGTATGTATGTATGTATGTATGTATGTATGTATGTATGTATGTATGTATGTATGTATGTATCAAATCAAATCAAATCACTTTTATTCAATCAAACAAAACAAAAGCATGAATGATTCGGAGACCAAAAAAAGAAAATTAATTCTTGTGGGCTCGGCCACCGTGCAGCTCAAAATTGCTTCTCAATGATAAAATAAAATTGTCAATAGGCGAAAATGTATCAATGTTAATGAAATATGTACACACTTATATACATATATATACATATACATTATTATCCTTGAAAAACAGAACTTTTCGTAATTAAAAAATTTTTCAGTTTATTTTTAAAAAGATGCAAAGTGTTACAATCTTTAATTTCTTGTGGAATCGTCTCCCATATTCCTGGGCCGGTATGTTTCAAACTCATGCAGAGTACTTTAATTCTGGCTGGTGGAGCATAGAAAAGTGGCGTGTGGCGTGTTGTTCTTGCTTGAATGGAAGTTCCAAAAGTGAAAAAGTTTCTAAAAAATGCCGGCAATTGCTGACGTAGAAATCTAAAAATGAATGTTGCAACGTGGTAGATGAACAAGTTTTTGATGTTGAGTATTTTCATCTCGAGATAATATTCACTTGTGTGACAATGAGGATGAAGATTTTTAAATATTCTGATGAATCGGTTTTGGCATTTTGTTAACTGTTTTAGATGAATGTCAGGACTGTTTCCCCAAATTACGTTGCAGTAGATGAGGTGAGGAAAGATTAACGAATAATACAGGTCAATTAGAGTAGGTTTATTTAATTTATTTTTAATTTTGCTTATAACTCCTAGGGTTTTGCATATTCTTTTAGACATAGTATCTATGTGAATATCCCAAGAAAGATTGTCCTTGATTGTTACTCCAAGGAATTTTGTGTTGGTTGAGCGAGGAATAGAAATATTGTTCATTTTTAT